CAATTAAATTTAATTGCAATTGATATTCCACAATTAAATATTTAGTTAATTGATTAATTGATTGAATATTTAATTGATTGATGCCCAACACTGACTGAAATAATGTATTCACTTAATTTAAATGTTTAATCATTTACGTCAAAGTCACCGGTCAGAGGTTCAGTGTCTACTGACAATGTACTATCAGATTATACCAGCAAACTTCAATGACAAGTACGAGTTTAATGCAGATAGTACTGTCATTATATCGACGTCCGCAGTTAAACAGTTAATTTATTGGTGGGCAGAAAAATTAACCAGCAGGCCAGATGATTTGACCCGGTTTGAGTCGCCGGCCATCACTTAGATATTACAACAAATCCGATGTTATCTGTGTTGTATTAAATTTATGTTTTGCCGGCAAAGTCTGCTCGTATAATCTGATAACAGATTTCGATAGATACTGAACAAAATAACCTGTAACTAGTGTAAGTTTGGAAACATTTAAAATAAATACATGATTTAAATGGCAATTGTCTGTTTCTGCAATTAATCTATTTCATTATATGTATTGTATTAGCAGATTTTGTTAGATTTTTTTAATTTCCGTTAGTATTCTATTAAGTAATCAAATTTGTAGCAGACATTTTCACAATGTTTCGACAAATTTGGCTATACAGGATATTGCGAGATACAAATTAATAATAAAAAATATGTATACATATACATATACCTATAATTACATATGATATACATATAAAATGTATTAGTATAGAGAGAAAAATATACCAAATTCACGGAAATTTGTACAATACAAATTAATTTATTGTATCGAATGCTAGCTATAAGTAAAACATAAAAAGTAATTATAATAAATCGTTTATAAATTAAAAATACGTGAATTTACTTACGACAATGTTCCACCCATAGACACAATGTATCTAGACCGAGTATTGAGCAGTGGGGGGTAGAGGTTCACGTAGAAAAGAACAAATTCTGTTTTGTGCTATTTCGTTCTTTCTTGTACGCATACGAACGCTGCTCAAATAAGGGCAAACGCTCGGTCTAGATATATTATGTCTATGGTTCCACCTAACAAAAACTGCGTTATATGTCTGAAAGTAACGGCGCACAGAATAGGTTGGAAAAACAGTATATGAATTTACACATTAGATAAAATCATTGGGCTATCTACATCTTGCTCAGACCATATTGGCGATCTTATTTCTTATTGATTTATATTATAATTGGTTCTGATTTAACTCTCTTTTGTAAACTAATTCAGTCTACGTAAGACCAATTTATTCAACTTGATAAGAAGAGCAAACTAAATATATTAAGTTAGTAGATTTTTTACAATTAATGCACCGCTAGACGCTGTCTCTGTCTCTACACACAATTACATCGTATCAGTTCCTCGCTAAACGTCCACTAATTACTTTTTTTCTAAAGGCCACTTTCAAATTGCATAAGATCATACGATTCTTTGCCTTGTTAATCAGAAATGATTAATCAAATTCCATTTTGATTTGACTTTCATATATCGATGCGAATAATAGCTGTCTAACGAAGAACCACGGTCTTATACACAGGTCGGGACACTCGTGGAATAAAGCGTGCTCAAAATGACACTAATATGGCGGCCAGCTCAGGCCTGTTTTCGCAGCGCATGCGCAAAATCCAGTGCTCTTTCCGACTATCATGTTAAATAATGGATTTACAAACATCAGTTTATTAGTATCTCCATACTATTTTCAATTAAAAAAACTTTTTTCACTTTCTACACTTCAAATATTCTATCTCGAAATTAATCTGTATATATGTATATGTATACCGCGGATCACCAAATCTTATAGTCCGAAACCACCGAAACTACGGTCGAAATCTTAGCGATCTGCGTTTGCGCGCGTTGAATAAAGGTCTCAATTGACTACAATTTAATGTCAAATTTAGTCACGTGACTATATTTAACGCTAAATTGTAACGTCAATGAAATGGGATCTTTTAGCGTAACCAAACTGTCGTATTTCGCGGCACACTGAAAAAGCTGTCAACTTTTTCCCCCACTACGTAGAAAAGTCACGTGAAGTTGCTCCTTTAGGCCTGAGCTGACCGCCATATTGGCGTCATTTTGAGCACACTTGAAAGCATGTAGCCGGTATAGGAGTGTCCCGACCTGTGTATAAGAACCGTGCGAAGAACCCATTAAATCGATATTAAATCGAAGTCATCGCTCGCTGCATTTGATTTGTTCGGAGCGGTGTCATATACTCAAAGCAAATAGTGTATTGAAGATTGTTTAAAAATTTCTTTGAGTCATAATAATCGAATCTAAAGTAAACATACGTCGCGGTCACAACCGGGTACCCGGGTACCCACTACGAAAAAAATGAAATACTATTGTTTATCACAACAATTTTAATACAAGTTTAATACAACGAAGTTCAGTGAAAGTTATTGTAAAATTTATTTGATACAATAGTTGACAACAATTACATAAAAAGTTACCTATATTATCAGTTTCATCACTATCAGAAGCTGCATTCTCTGGCATACCGTAATCTGGAAGCCAGTCCTCGTCTTCGCTGTCAGACGAGGACTGGCCTCCAGATTACGATATGCCAGAGAATGCAGCTTCTGATAGTGATGAAACTGATAATATAGGTAACTTTTTATGTAATTGTTGTCAACTATTATATCTTAAATAACTTTTACAATAACTTTTACTGAACTTTATTATATTTTTGTGTTTGATTTTTAGATGACGAAGAGGACTGATGCGCATCTGCTCAGTCCTTCTAGACTTAAGAGGGCTGGACCGTTTGCCTTCAAAACTGAGAGAACCTAGGATTCTTTAAGATAAAAGTAACCGCGAGGATCCCGCTGTCTTCTTCTTTTGTACGAGCTACAGCGGCTCCATTGATTCGAAAATACCTCAAGCACCTACTTTTGATGTTAATTTATTGAAATAAACATTAGGGAAACGGTTACGATTGCATAAATATTAAAAAAATTTAAAAAATGCGCAATGGGTACCCAGGTACCCGGATATGCAACAACGTGGGTAAAGTTGGTTATGCACACAAGGGTTAAACAAGAATTGTTTTGCTGAATCTAAGGGGCGTATAATGTGTTTAAATGTACATTTAAATTCATATTTAGTGCATGTATTTGTCCTGCATTAAATGCACATTTAATGTATATTGTGACAGCACATTCCAAAAAACTGTACCATTAACCACCTATGCATAATTTTTCATGCATAAGTGTATATATATATATAAAGAATTATATAAAATTATATATCTCAAATATGTCCAAATTGGTTACATATGCGCATTTTGAACAAACAATTAATACTGTCTTACAGCCAATGCAATAAAAGCACGTTCTACGCGCATTGGCGCTCCTTGGAAAACTAAATTTATGCTAGAACTTTGTTTTCCTAGTTCAAAGTTCACCACTCATGTTTTAAGTATTGGAATAGTAATATTACACGCAGCAGAATTAGTCTAGCATTCCAAAGTTGAACTTCAACGTTGAATTCTCAGTTGCCCAGTTGAATTTTCACAAGTAAAGCAGAACAAGTTAATAAGTTAAAGAAGCAATATTGTGTGTGTGTGATACATATTATTGTTAAACTAATTATATTTCTTCAACAATGGGTTTTCGAGAAACGTATAATTATTTGTTTGTAGAACTATCGTGTAAGGAATTTTATCTTTTTAATTTCATATTAGTATAATTTCTATAAGGACGTCTTCCGTTTAGACACGTAACTATTGGACACCGCTCGAGTGGACACGCACTATTAGACATTTTAGTATTGGACACTACATTATTGGACACCGCATTTTTCGACATCGCATTTTTCGACACCGCATTATTGGACACAAATATTACAAGATGGTCCACGCTTCCTATCGGCAGGGCGAATGCGGAAAGGGAGCCTGAAGGCCTCCTTGATCCCCCAACCCCTGCGCGCGCGCGCGCGCGCGTGTGTGTATGTGCTTTTAGTAAGTTCCACGCATTTCACTCATTTAAATTCACAATGTCCAATAATGCGGTATTCAATAATGCAGTGTCCAATACTAATGTGTACAATAGTGCGTGTCCAATCAAGCGGTGGTAAATAGTTACGTGCCCAAATGAAGGTTACTCACTCCTTACTATAAATGTCATTCTTTAGCCTTAATGTATCATCGTAAAATTACATATTATCGTAAATTAACGTGTCCTGTTTGATATTTTAAAGGAATTAATTTAACTTTAATGTTTCGACACAATCAACTTCGTATTTGGTCTATCTTGTTAATAATTCATTCCATCGCGAAATAATAAAGAATTAAATAAGAGCGTTGTTCCCTTACGGAAAAGCACCGAAATAATTATTAGAAAATTACTGTACATCAGTAATTTCTGATAGTTCAATTACTGATATACAGTAATTTTCCAGTAATTATTTCGTTACTTTTTCGTAAGGGTTTTGCTAAATTTGTGCTAGAACTACTTTCTTTTTTAAATTCGAAGTTTACCGTTCATTGTTTTAAATACTAAAATGGTGAATTATAATAAGGAAAGTCGATACAAATTGATAAAAAAAACAAAAACATTCTATATTAATAATAATTTGGTTATAAAACTTTCAAAGGTTCCGTAGTCACATAAATCATATTGTTTCTTCATCTATCGAATTAAAACTAGAACGTGTTCTATAGAAATATTGGTGAAATAGAAACAGTTAAAGAGGAAAAATTTTAATTCTTAAAAAATTTTGTTGTTTACATGAATAGAAATTTACTAATTACTAACAACCGCTATAATATCATACATATATTTGAATGTTGACTCTAAAAAGTTTTATTGAGAAGAGATAGAAAGTAGTTACATTATTGTAAAGATTCTATTTTTGCAGGCCCAGAAACTCGCGAATGGTTCGTATCCTCGCCGTTTCTACTATTGCTGTTAATACTCGGATATGTATATTTTATTTATTATGCTGGTCCTCGCTACATGAAAAATCGACCGCCATATAAATTAAAAACCTTTATGTTAATTTATAACTTACTTCAAATTCTGGCGAATATATGGGCAATAAAATTACATATAGATATGGGTTGGTTTTCACATATTACAGAATTCAGTTTTGCAAACTGTATGACAAACTATGCAAACTACTTGGATGCGACTAAAGTACGTTTTTACAATATAATAATTATGATAAGAATGATCGATAAGATATAATGTTAATAGAAAAAATTGCATTATTAAGTATATGTGAATTTGATTTGTAATTATATTATTTAAAAAAAAAAAGCGAAAAATACCGGTTTAAAAGAATTATAAGCATTAAACAGATTTTAAGCTAAAAGAAACAATTACTTTAAATAAAAATCTATTTATAATTTAGTTGGAAATTATATATGAAATTTTGAGAAGATTATTCATTTTACAATTAATCAATAGTTTTTAATCCTTTCACTGTTGGCTATTATTAATATAATTATACAGGTAATATTCATTATTTTAATAATTCCACTACTTTGTACATCTTAAATATATCATTTACGTTTTAGCTATTGGGTCTGGCATGGTGGTTACTTTGCGTGAGAGTGTGTGATTACATTGAAACCTGCATATTTGTGTTGCGAAAGAAACAAAACCAGGTCTCTGTTTTGCACGTATACCATCACATAACTATTATAATGTTCGGCTGGTATTTTTTAAAGTACGTTTTGGATGTCAGATGTACATATCTAACTTTACTTAATTGTTTCGTACATGTAATTATGTATACGTACTATTTCATCTCTGCATGGAGTTCGTATCTCAAACGGATGGTATCTCCCGTTAAACCATTTATAACTCGGTTACAGATGGCAAGTGTCTATACAACATGTTATAATTAGACTGTTTATTGCGATAAATATTACCACATGTCTCAGTGGTATTTATCGAATTATTGTGACCCACATAGAACATAAATATCTCTTAGAAATCTAAAGGATATCCACGACAGATATTAAGGATATTCATGAATACCTAAAAAATATCCGTTAGATGAGCTTTAGATATCCAAATGTCCACCATTTATGATCTAATAGATATTTATAGGATATTTATGCCAATATTCGTTAGACGTCTATATCAGTATGTAGTGGATATTTATATACATAGATGTCCCATAGATATCCGTTACATATATATTAATGTTTGTATGTTAAAAATTATTTCGATATAATTATTTACAAAAAGTACGCAGTTTTGTAAAATTATACAGGGTGTACTAAAACCACCGGAGGTCCTCTTAATGACAGATTCCTTAGAACATTTCCAGACGAAAATCCTAATACAAAAGTGTCGAGGCTATAATAGTTTTTAAATTAGAAGCGATTATTTTCCACTAATGAGAGGGCTGAAATATCGCGCGCTCAGGCACGGCGAAATGACAAGTGATATAAGTGCTCCTATGAATATCGCTCTTTTTATGATGTTATGTTTATTGTATAAATTTACAATATCACTTGTCATTTCGCCGTGCCTGAGCGCGCGAAATTTCAGTCCTATCATTTGTGGAAAAAAATTGCTTCTAATTTAAAAACTATTATAGCCTCGACACTTTTGTATTAAGATTTTCGTCTGGAAATGTTCTAAGGAATCTGTCATTAAGAGGACCTCCGGTGGTTTTAGTACACCCTGTATATGAAATTTGTTTATACATACATAACTATTGTATATATGATATGTGTTTCAAATCCTGTTCACTTTGTCAGCAGAGATAATATTGCATCGATTCGTGGGCTCGTCTTTTATATTATTGCAGGATAATTTTTAATTACTAGAAAGTGTAACGTGCGATTGCCGCGTCGCGGCAGTAAGTGGTAATAGTTTGAATATTTAATGTATATCCTTGGTAGCTATTTGGTAGACACGGATATGTGGACAAGACGTAAATATGTAATGGATATTTTTGGTAGCAATTTGGTGTATATGAACATGTGGATAATATATGCATATCCATTAGATATCCTCGCTAGTTATGCGGAAGATATAGACATTTTATACATCTATTAGATATCTGGTAGATATCCATACTAGCTAAGGACATCATATGAATATGTAGATATTTATTAGATATTTTGTTCTGTCTGGGGAGACGTCTCTAGACGTCTCTTACACTCTAGTGTAAGGATATCCAAGTTCAAACCCTGGCTGAAGTAATATTTTTCGCAGTAAATTTCTTTAATTAGAATTTACGAGTTGTGTCGTTTACTTTTCTACATTGATTTTATAATTATATCACTCATGTGATAGTATTATTATCATCTTCTGGGAAAAAATAGAAAAAAGATTCATTATATGTATATATCTAAATGTATACATATATCTAAATCATGCAATATTTAATTATATTTCATGAGATTCTGTGTCGTCGATTAGGGTGAAGGGATTTCTCGATCACACTGTCTTTTCGTTTACAAAGTTTGTTGTTCTTTATTTTTTATACAAACAATTATCACGTACACTACACTCACGCGTGTTTCGTGCTCGGAACTTGTGACTCCGCGACAACGCCTGGGGACTATGGTCCTGAGTCGAATGGGATTTATCGCCTTTATTAATTTGTTATCGAACGCTTTTTCGTGCGCGACAACGACTAAGAAACTGTCGTTTTGAGTCGCGCAGAATAAAATATGCACACACACTTGCGTACGTCCGATTTGAATCGCGGTGACCAGCCAAATGCTGATAGGTCATTGCCCCGTTGTATCCGCGGCGAAGAAATGACTACGCCGCGATATGACAAAAGTTCGCGAATCCTTTGTTTCATGCCGATCTCTTTTCCCCCCCGGACGGGAGAAGGCAAAATTATTATATTGTATAAGCATGTGTGTGCGTATCTGTATTGAAGAGATGATACACGACAATTCAATTAATTGAATTAATCGAATTAATTAAATCTCAAGAGATTATACATATAATTAGATATTATGTGATTTAGACGTATACATATAACGATTTTCTCTATTTTTTTCCCGGGCTACTTTTATTAAAAATATATTTTAATTACTTATTTATTTGTGAATTTAGGTTCAATTTATTTTGATGATAGTACCTGCGGTGCAGTTTCTAGGTCCCAACTGCAAAATAGCAGGAGGAATAATAGAACCATTGTTTGTAATAAATGTATGTACTATTCTGTATTTATTTTATAATTTTTACAAGAAAACTTATACAATTAAACAGAAGATTTAACATTAAGAGGTGATTTTATATTACTTATGTCTTAAGTAAATAATACTACAGTTATACATATGTATATGCGTTTACATAATATAATATACATATATAACTATACGTATGTATACATATAATATATAATACGTACATTACAATATATTGTCTTTTAAATATATTAAATGGATATACAGAGTAATTCAAAATCCATATTTATTATTATACCCCTATATTATTATGAAGACCGTGCTCGTCTAACATCCCATACAACACAAAAGTTTGCAACAACATTGCCGCAACATTGCAACATTGCATCTTGCAGTGTAATGGTACATAGATATTGCAGAGACATTATTTTACGATATTACTTTAGTAATGTTGTAGCAATATTATTTTAAAATATTGATACAATTATGTTTGTAATATGTATATTGTTTCCTCATATCACTTTTATAGTTTACTAGAAATGACAAAACGCGCGTTTCGCGCGCGCAGTTTGTAGTTGAGCATTGTATATTTTTAAGAATTTGTATACATGCAAAGAAGTAATTGTATGCGCAACGTCAATTTAAAATAAAGTGATTTTTCACTCACTGATACGACTCGCAACAGCACAGTTGTACGTAGGTACATCGTTAACTAGGTACATATGTTAAACTGTAACAATACAAATATGCATATGATTATTATAGACTAATCATGTAAAATTGAAATTATTGTATCAAATATACTTTATATTTTATATTTAAAAAATAGGTATTTATTAAAATAATTATATAGAATGCTGAAAAAGTCTTCCTTTTAAATATAAACTGACAAAATTCTATACGTATGGTTTTGTCTCTAACGCTTATTCGAATTCTCGTTCGAATCATTTGACTAAATAAAAAGAACACAGAAGAGGTCCTTTATTTTGCACAAAAAGTAGCAAATAAATAAAAACGTAAGACTTACCTTACGATTTCTCCGTCGTTGCCCGATGCCTCCAGACCTCCTCCTCCTCTCAGATTTCCTCGTTGCACTCGCATAACACTCGCGAAAATCATCGATCGCGCGAAATTTCCGGCACTCCCGTACGCGATGTGAAATACCACGAAACGCACGAAATGCCATTAACAAATAGGTATCGCGTGACTTTCTATCATACAAATTACTCAAATTAATATCTTGCATTTTTGATTTGGAAGAATGGATAAATCATTTTTGAATTGGCGATATAAAAGGTAACACAAACATCGGAAGCATAATCTGCGGTAAAGCAGTAGTTATTAGTCCGTAACGAAACGATATTTTACAATCTTTGTCATTTAATCTAATCCTTGAAACGAAATCGATAGATAATTAAAAGCGCGGTGCGTAAACGAGATGTAACCGCGACAAAATACCACGGTTTACATTTATAATGTAGATGAGTTAATCTCGTGAAATAACTATACGTGGATAAAGAGCCGTCGCCTCAACACGCAATTCGTTTCTCATTACAAGTTGTAGAAACTTAATAATTAATCGAGGAACGTTACTTGTTACTGATAAAGGTGTACAAATCAATAGCGTTTTATTCTTCCATTCATCGTGATCAAGTCTTGGAAACCGATAATGTAAAAGTAATACTACGCACGGAGCAACTCTCGCTGCTGCCTGCCAGCACGACGCGACGTTCGGCGAGCGAGTGGGAGCTTGGTGGCGACCTTCAGGTACACGATGGCACGCAAAAACATCGTACGTCACCGCGCCGAGTGAAAAACAACAAAAAAACGTTGAGAATTCGTTGGCCCGCTTAATCGTCGTACGATACCGCGCCGAGTGAAAAACAACAAAAAAACGTTGAGAATTCGTTGGCCTGCCTACGCAATGGAAAATTCTGTATTTTACATTACTTTGTTCCGTGACTGTTACTACGTTTTGTGTATCATTCTGCGGACTTATTGGTACCGATTAAATAAACGATTAATTCTATCGAGAAAATGTATCAGAACAAAAATCATTGTTACTTAAATTGTAACTACTAAAGCCAACGGCACACGATACTATTTTTCCTACTGGATTGCTTACGAGAGCCAATCAGAATGCAGAGTTTTCGATCAGATGACTTAAGGCTGAATCCTGATTGGCTCTCGTAAGGAATCCAGTAGGAAAAATAGTATCGTGTGCCGTTGGCTTAAGATTAGAGATTTTATCTTAATAGTTAGCGTATACAAATGTACATTTCTAAATTGCATATCTTCATTTACGCGTTGCTTTCCGCGGCGTGTTGCTTTCGCCGAGCGCCGTAGAAATGACGTATCGTGGTAAATAACTGGGTCGCCGGGCGGTTCCAAGAAATGACGTAGCGCCGTGAACACCTCTGTCGAAAACAATCTATTGAAATCCGCGCTCGGTGTTTTTTCGACAATTCCGGCCCGAGGTGTTTACGACGCGGTACGCAGCATCAGTCGCGCGGCGACAGTCGAATTGATCGGTGATGCCCGCGCCGCTTCGCATATCGTATTATTCTTTCTTGATACGCGTTCGCGACAAGTGCGGGAGGAAACCGTGATCGCTCTGTGCGAATAATGAGTGATTGATATCATCGTGCGATCGCTGAATTCCCGCGATTTACCATCGATGCGAAATGCTCGATGTAATCGAACATTTCGTAGTGGCACTCGAACTCGGTGATAATCAGACACGGTGAAAACCGAAGAAGTGGCATTTGGATACAGTGACAGTGATAAGTGATTTTACAAACGGAAGTTTAAATTCGCGAGTGTGTCGGAGGACAGCTGAGACAACGACACCTGAGAGGAGGACACCTGAGTGGACGAGGAGGCATCGGGCGCCATTGCAGAATCAATCCGCCGCTGCGCATCGTGTCGGTGAGTAACAAGTTTTTTATTAAAGTAACGGAATCTACATTTTTAGATCGTAGATTGTAGATTGATTGACATTTCGTAGATCCGTTACGTTAAAGTGGATAGGTTACAAATAATTTTACGTTTTATTTAATATATTTAATTTATCGATAAAAAATAATATTATAGAGTTCTACAAATCAGAGTATGTTCAGCTCATTTGTTATGTTGAAAATCGGTGAAATACATTATAGAAATTATGTGAAATATGACGAATATTATCAATGTATTCGGCCATCTCGTAACCTATCCATTTTTAATTAATAAATTGATATATGTATATGTATAATAAAATAACATGTGACGTAAGATTCCAATATATTTTGTCGAGAATGCGTAAATTTGAAATTATTTTTTATACTTTATTTGAGATTATCGTTTAACTATAATATTCAATTATAATATCGGTGTCACTCGTGTGGCAAGTTGCTTTTTTCTGGACCTTACGTCATTTATTTTACATATCTCGCGATACTCTCAAGATGCGTTTAACATAAATACACGCATCTCGTATTTTTGCGGTCGATTTTCGCGGTCGGTTTTCGCGATCAGTTTTTTACAACATGTCCAAGAAATTATTAATTATTTAATTTCATCGCGGAATATAATTAAAATTAGTATAATACAAAGTAAATTTTTTTCTACATTTATGTGCTTGAATTTTATATTCAAAGATCGAGTTACGAAGAGACGGTCGGTACTTTTGGAAACGAAAGTAAAATTACACATTGATGAGTTTTAAAATTAATTCAATTTTTTAAAATTACGTTTCTTCTTTAAATAACTTCTCTCTTGGTCGTGCATTTTTTTATACGATCGGCGCTCGCATATAGTTCGAACCGTACGAAATATCTGTCGGTGATAAACCGACTATGGAAGGAGTTTTCTTTCTTCCTGATCTCTGGTCAAAATGACCAGACTGTATGGCCAGGAGCAACGAAAGGTAGGTCCAATCTGGCCCAACGAAAGAAGACTGGATACAACGGGGTAAGTGGTCAATATTGGCCACTCCAATGGGGTATGTGACTAAGGCGATGTGCGAAATAAGTTGATTTGTTATTTATCAATATTCGGGTGGGTTATATAATTGTTAGCTTCTTTACATCTCGCATATGTGCGAGATTAACAAGACTCCTGTTAAATCCCATTCGCGCGCGTATAGCCCCAAATCGGACCTTTTATAAATCACGTCGCGGTTCAAACGAAAGACTTGTAGGTCGGGTAGGTAGGAAAATGGATAGGACTATACATCGGAATACGGGCAGGTAGAGATTCGGGTAGACGGTGGCAGCAGGACGTAACTCGATAATTAAAAAGATAGATAAAATTATAACTGCAATGTATTACTATTAAATATAATTATGTTTGCATTCGGATGTGTATATAATAAGATGAAAGTTGTTATGCGTTTGTCAAGTTTTTATTTATGACTTACTTGAAATTTTTGTAGCTTTGATTTACTTTTACGAAATCGTTAACAAATACATTCGGAAAATTTTGTGTCCCAAACATGTAATATGTATACATATATTTTACATTCCAAGAATTTCATATTATTGTACGTACACCGAATATTTGATATGTAACGTCGAGAGAAATATTGTTTTAAATTTTATTATGTAATTATTTCTTTTATAATATTGTATACGTTGTAAAGTTAATTATAAGAAAGATGAAGTGAATATTAAAGTATACAATAATAAAATTGTAAAAAGTCACATTCTAAAGAAAAGAGAACCGCCGATCGAAATTGGCGGGGCTCTGTAAATCGATCTTTTTATCGAATAAAATTCTAGTTCAATTGGATTCACAGTCTTTTAATCGATAGAGTTTCGTATTTCGTTTCAGTTGTACATATAATTTACGATATGTAGAAAAATATATATGTAATTGAAACGCAAAAGCTGCTCCGAAAAATATAAAACGAGAACCAATACCTATTTTCGGTATAGAAAAGTACTTAAATTTACCGGGTCTTTACCATAGGCCATGTTGCCTTAATTCTCCTCAGAGTGTACCAGAGCGCGCTCGAAACACAGACTTTCTGAATAACATTACATAACTCTTCGTACATCATGACTGTGAAAACGACAATACCGATTCACCGTCTTACTCACGATTGTATTTATTGTTTATTATTTCCGCAATACCGTATGGCAATGTTAACAATATTACGTTTCGTGTTATATTCTTATTTAAAAAATGTATAAGAACGTGATAGGAAAGCTAAAATGCGTGTACTTTCCTGAAAATTTACAGTGAATTTGGTTAAGTTGGGTTAGATTAATTCAAGTTGAGCATTTGCCGACGTTTTAATCTCGCCTGTCACTTCTTGTCTCTTATAATAATTATAAAATATAATAATGTACGTACTTTGGACCAATTAATTCATAAACGCAAAATGCACAGCGAAAGTGAGGAAGGAGAAATTATATCAGACTTTGAAGATTTTACAGAAGAACTAAGTAGTTTTCCTCATGTTTTGAAATTCATACGTAAACTGCGTGACCATATTAGAAAACAACGCAAGAAAATTACTAAACTACAAAAGAAGCTCAATGAGCAGGTATATACTTTCAGTAAAATCAATATCTTTCTTATACCCTTCTCTAATGTGTTATATTCACAGAAACAGCAAAACTCGCTTTGTACAAAACCACACGTATCCCACTGTGAGACTCAAACGGATCCTTTAGACTTTAATAAATCACTACCACAGGACTGGAATGTTAATCGTAATGTTAAGTCCCTCAGTATAGTAGATGAGGTGAAGCAAGTTGCTGAATCAGCTTTATTACAGACTGGTTTTGTTTATGAGGAGACATCGGGAATGTATTACGATTACAAAACTGGATATTATTATGATACAGTACGTTATTGCGTGTGTGCTTGTGAAGAATAGAAAAGAAAGAAATGGATAAATCTAGAGATGTATCATTTTAGAGGCAAGGTTTATATTACGATGGAAATACTGGAATATACTACTACTACGACGAGGCTAGCAATACGTATCAATTCCATAGCCAAGTCTATATAAATGAAACTACTCCTGTACATCTTCCAACTTTTCGAAAAGAGGAAAAACAAGGAATTGGAAATACGTATAAGGTAATTACATGCGTTTAACTTTGTGAGAAACTTGAACATTAGTCTTACATTACAAGTTTGAAATAAAATAGACGAATTAATAAAGGGCTCTCGTAGGATGACGTGAAAAAACGAAAATTTATAAGTGATGAGGAAAATTTAAAAGATAAAGAACCTGAAGAGGGTGAATGTTCAGGAAGTGAGAATGACGGCATTTCTGACGAAATTATTCCTGACGTATCTACAAATAGCGAAAGCGATGAGGAAGAACAAGGTTTATTATTCATATATTCAATATTCTCTTAATTTCGTTCTTCATGTCACTGTAATTATTATATTATATATATATATATATATATATATATTATATACATATATGGCTCATTTTAATCAATCCGCTCAAATATCTCAAAATGTTTTGTCTGAAATATTTTTCAATTTGCCTAATACTTTTTAATATATTCAAGAGAAAATTGATAACTTTTTCAATATTTAAACTTATGTCTGAAAATCATTTTGATTTCAGATTTAGCGAAAGGTTATCCACCATGTATGAGAATTATTGTTAAGGAAACAGATTTGGCAGAGTTAAAATTGGGCTCCCTTTTCCTCGTGACATGTACAGGAGGTTCCTTAGGTCGATTGGGAGATCATTCGGTGTTAATACCGGACATAAATATTAGCAAGGTATACCAAGGGGGAAAAGTCAAAAATTTCATCTTTTATCAAAATATTTTACGCATTATTACGTATATGTATTTACAGTATCATGCACGTTTTGTGTACGATGAAACTGAGAAGCAATATCGAGTAATAGATTCTGGTTCGAGAAATGGTACGTTTATAAATGGCAAAAGATTGTCAGTAGCTAAACAAGAATCTGAGCCTCATGAGGTAACGCATGGATCAGTTATAAAAGTTGGCGGAACAAAGTTACTATGCCATATTCACGATGGAAATGAAACGTGTGGCCATTGCGAACCAGGTCTTGTTCAACGGAACATCAATCTTAATGAAAATAAAGCTTCGAAGACGAAACATCACAAGGAAGAGTTGCGACGTTTGAAACAAAAATTTGGAATTGAAAAGGACAATGTTGTATCTAGTAGTCAATTAGCTTCAGGTTATCAAGATAGAGCGCAAGCTAGGCGGCAGTGTGTAGGTTCCTCGGATCCTTATGCTAAGACTCAACAAAGTTCTGTTGATACGTGAGTATCGTGACTTCTAAACGTAAAAAGGAGCACGTTATATGTATATTATAAGTAAAGTAGACCGCAGATATTACAGAAATAAGACTATTTAATCATACGCAGATCAATAACAAAGGACAATAAAGGGTTCAAATTGCTTTCGAAGATGGGGTGGTCCGAAGGTCGCGCCTTGGGCAAAGATGGAGATGGAAGGACGGAACCTGTAAGTTTTTTTACTTATTTTATTATTACACTAGACTTATCAATTATCGCAATGAAAAAATGTTTATAAAACGATTATCTCAGCAAACACAAAATATAGCTGCTATGCAACAAAGAGATAATAAATATATATATATGTAACAGATGCTATATTGTAGGTATATGAATGTTACATATTTTATATAATATAACGGATGTTATACAGTAGTTTACCTCAGGGTGGTAAATTTTTATATACACAGTACCTATTTTTACCGGTAGACGGCTCATTTACTTGAAAGTAAAACTTAGCGTGAAGCCTTATAAAAAATAATAGCAGTCAGACGTCAGCTATTCCCAGCGAGAAATGCCTCGTCGATCGATGGTTGAATCGTCGAAAGTAACGTCGATTTGACATTGATCGACGAGTCATTTCTCGTTGGGTTGTAGCTATCGGAATTATTACTTCTTTTGCAATACATGAGAGATATTAGCTCCTCGAATTAAATAAACGGTTATGTAACAGTAATATAATAATTTAAATTACAATTATATAACATTTCAACAATTTTTACAACTACTGTATAACAATTATATTATCACGTTACAGTGATATAACATTTTTGTTATACGTTATATTATAGTTAGATAATTGCAATATTTAATGAGTTTTTACATGTAGAGATTACAATCCGCTTTATTATGGCAATGTAACAGTTATTTATCTGTGTTTGCTGGGATTTCACTAAAAATTTGACACGAAATTTAGTATCAACGTGAAGGAGTGTGGTAAAGGAGTAATACGCAGTAATTGCGAATCAGTTGCCTTTCTACGACGCAAATTAAAAATTATACATTAAATCTATCACGTCCTAATTAATAAATACATATAACATTACTTCCGAATTCTCTCTCTCTTTCTCTCTCTCTCTCTACGCGTAAAGAAAGTACAAGATAAAGGAGAAACAGATGCACACTCGAGTCATTAGCCGGTCTTTCCTACCTTTGGTCGCATCGCATCGTGTCGATTTAATCCCACCCGCCATATCGCATTTCGACGGCAACGAAATGAGCATCGTCGGTACGAGTAGAGCATTCGTATGATAACGAGAGTGGCTCTGCGAAATGCTAACTAGCAAAAGAAGAGACCGCGTGGATCGCGGACTGTAAACGAGAGAGAGAGAGAGAGAGAATGGGGGGCGCCCTGAGGTAATGAATGCAAATGTATTGAAATCCAAATCATTATTTTGTCTAGACGCATCGTATGCCCCATTGCATATACCCTAACCGGAATATATCGGGATATATCGGGATATGTCAGCAGTAGTGCCTCTACGTGTAAAAGGATTAAAGGGTGGGATAAGGGGAGACCGTGTTATTTTCTCTCGTCTGTACTTGTGTGTCGTCTTCGCTGTCGTCTCACTATCCGTTCGTTCGTCCTGTTGTCCCAGCAGCTCCTCCCCATCCGCCTTTTTTTGTCAAATTTGTCTGTCGCGCTAACCGTTATTTCCGCTAGATATAGAGTCGCTTACACTTCTTGCTCGTAAAGCAAAGAGCTACTGTTGGAACCAGAGTTAGAGGCTATATTTTCTATGTAACGTGGTTTCCGTTCAAATAAATGATACAAAGAACGCACAAGATGTGCTTAGAATTTTGGAATATGTCTGACAATTTAGTTACGAATAAGATGTAGGAGCATTTAAATTTACGTCGACTATTTCATACTATTTTTTGCGCTTTACTATTTTGCCTGTTGTATGAAATTGCTCTTATTTCCCCTCATTTCCAAATAAATGAAGAACCTTTAAAAACTTATTCGCAAGTGCTCGTTGGCTGTCCTATTGAGTAAATAGCTACTTCGCTTTTACATTGAATTCCTTTTTTATATTACCCTTTCTCTTAACGAGCACCACTCAACGCTCGTTGTCAGTTGCAGCCACGTAATACGTGGCACCGTCTTTAAACGCGTTTTACAATGACCTATATCGTAAACGATAAAGTCGGAGAAGGGATGCGAGCACAAAATACGGAAGGAAAACACTCGTTGGGATGATACGCCACACCTCGCCTCGCCTCGCTTCGTTGAAAGCCCGTAAACCAGACATTGTTAAGTTCGCGAATGACGATTGCTAGTAAACCGCGAGATATAAAACCGTCATGGAACTGTATGGTCTACGTACGCAAAGCCATACTGTACTTTAACGACTAAAATCTCAACGGATTCATTTATCTAAGTGCTTTACTGAGCCCTAGTCTATTTGACACACGCGCGCAAATTGCCCAAGTTACAAATTCTTTGCCATCTCGCACTGAACTCAAACTGAAAAGTGAGAAAATTTATTTAATATTGCGTAAAGTTGTCACAACTTTATCGTGGTAAAATTGATAATGCCATTCGTTGAAATATGTTAAGAAAGGCGCACAGAAAAAGATAGGAATTAAATAAAGTTGGATAATATACATATGTATTTCTTATTTATTAAATACTAGCTGTAATTACGGTTTTGAGATATTTTACATAGATTTAGACATTACTAGCAAGTGAGCAACATATTTACCATAGCGAACGCACGGATTGCAAAGCAATCGTAGACTACATTTAGAAACTGCAACGATTTCATTTTATAGACTTCCCTAAATATCGACTGCCGTAAGCCATTTCACGAATAGAGTGCAAGCGTACATCTCTGGTAATTCCGTTTACGATTTACATCCATTCCCATATTACATCTGTTTGCGGTTTACAATCCTCGAAGGGAAAAAAAATCATTGATAAATTATGCGACGTTATTTACAAGGACAGATGCTTTATAAGCATACCATTAACATTCGCACAAAAACAGCGTAGTTGCTCACACGAAAATAATTCGTATTGACTACCGTTTGGTACGAATTTATTCACGATCTCTCTCTCTCTCTCTCTCTCTCTGTTTATTTTCTTACTACCGTATGTATTTATTCACCGCATATTTCTCTTCCGACAAAAATGAGTAAGAAATAAAGATATAAAAGAATTAAGGGCTTGGTATGCATGGCGGAAATCGAGTATGTGAATATACGTAATATACACGTTTTTGCTGTGAGCATTACATTTATCTCTCAAGTTTTTGGTGTAAAACATTCACTCTATTGGAGTAAATATTCATTCCATTGGAATATTTTCACTCTGAAAACTTTAGAGAATATAATGCAAAGTCGTTTCAATATACGCAATAAGGACTGTACAGACATGTCGAGTGTACAGTGCTAAAATACAGCATTGTCTTTATGATGATTACGTCAATAATTGAGCATTAGAATTCGGTATATAAATACGGCTTATTCAATGAATGATAGATAAAGGCGGAACGGGAAGAAAATGAGTCGTAATAAGCATTGAGATTTTTTCATGTGTTATTAAGTTATTTCATTGAAACATTTAGTCATTTTACTTGACACACTTAGTTGTGTAGTATAATGCATATAAAATTGAACGTCATTAAAAAATATTTCAGTTTCTTACCTTTACAGTTTAACACAGTATCAATATATTTATATCCACAACTATGCTTATACTTTGCAATAGATATATAAAATGTAATATAATCCCAGTGGAGGGGAGTGTTTTGAATACATTGCTCGTGAAAACAAGGTGGGCACATATAAAAGCAAATCGCAGATGTTGACTTCCATGCCTTCTTCATGATTACTTTACGCGATAACTTGTTGTTGTCCCATCTATCTTTCGTTCTTTCTTCTTATCTTTTTCCTGCTATTTATTCACTGTATCCTTTTATTTGGGAGACGACACGAAAACAGTACTAACAAAAGGAAAAAATAGTTAGGTGCGCGCATGCCATATCACAGTGCGAATCGGTCCGCGAACCATACAATCCAAACAAATTTTTGTCTCTCTGTCGATCTAATTTTGACAACGTTCTAAGATTTTTTTTTCAAAAAGCGCGAGTTATTTTATCTATTTTATAGAGATAATATTTTACACAGATCAGTCGCTATTTAAATTTTGCAATTCGATATAAGTTGTTTGTTTATACGCCAACACATGTGACTATTATATAATAACATAAAGTTTATGATACGTTAAGGAGATAGAAAAACAAGATTTAAAAAGACAGGATTAGATAAAGGGACAAAATTTTAAGAATATGAACAGAGAGAGCAAAGGCAACAGGTGGGAAACTTATGGGCACAAATAAATCACAACGACACAACATCACTATCTAAACATCTATTTATTCTGTACACAATAAATAGATTAATGCACTCTTTCTCTTATTCTTATTCTTTGTCTTCATTTGTTGTCTCAACCGTTATTTTGTTGTGTATAGATACATGTTGTCTTTCTACGTTCGTACTTGTCGAGCGCGTGTGCGTGTGCGCGTGTTGACTTTCACGATATATTAAATAAAGCAAAAATGTATCTGTGAGATGTAACTTTTGAATTGTAAAATCTGAAAAACTTACAAATTTAAAAGATGATAAGGATAAAGATTCTTTTAAAATTACAAAGTTAAATGATAATGATCAATTTCTATATGCAATGTAAAAGTGGTATGAGTCTCTCTCTCTCTCACACACACACACACACACACACACACACACACACACACACACACACACACACACACACACACACACACACACACACACACACACACACACACACACACACACACACACACACGCACACGCACACGCACACGCACACGCACACGCGCACACACACACACACACACACACACAGAGAGAGAGAGATATGTTATGATTATTATATAAAGAAAAAGAAAAGAAAATTAAGCAGACTCAACCAGCAGGGAGCAGACGTGAGTGCATAATTCTGTGAACATACGAGGTCCATATACGCAGCGCACACGCGCATGCACGTGTCAGCTTAACAGTCGGCATTGCCATACACGCGTACACACGTATACGTTTGTATGTCCGTAACGTTAGTTAGCTAGGAATATACAATTCAGTCAGAAGCGGTCGATTGGTGCAGACGAAATGTATGTATATGCTCGTGCAACACAAACGTTGGTCGAATAATCACCCGGTATCGACATACAAATATGTACAATGAGATTTATTAATTACAGCGAATCGACAATGTTGAATGCATACGTCTCGGTCAACATAAACCGCGTACAATGAGCGTCATTGTATCAGACGCGACGCGATGTGACGTGACGTAATGAAAAGAACGTACGATGCCATTCACGTATATGGATTTTTACAAGATACCTTTCTTCTCGGTTAATTGCATAACATTTTTCTAAACACAGAGGTAGAGGAAGTAACGTGTAAAATAATTAGGCTACATCGACAAAGCAACGATTCGTATGCTTTTCTAATCGAATATTATTAATTGCTGTTTTATGTGTGTGTATTCTTTAATGATTAAGTCGGACCGTACGTATTGCGTACCGGAGACATCGGTTGTCCTATCATCGCCAGACGGCTTCCGTCTGGGTAAACATGCCGATATAGACCGAACAGTCTGGCCGGTAGGGCTTACTGACTACCTAGGGACATCCATCACGGGATTATCGCAGGAGGTTCCGTTCGCGCGTGGTTAAAACGTGTGATGCTAATATACACACGACTGGTATATCAATCTTTTAATGTATCCCGTTTGCGTTTATATTTATGTGTTAAACGTATATGTCTTTATGTACCGATTTTAATTACTTTCGAAGCTATTATGAATCTATTAACAAACAATCGTGTGTTAATCACGCACACATGCGCATCGTCCCTTTATATTTCAGGGCCGGTTGTTGCAACCTCTTGACAAGATAACTAATAGTTAAATTATACATCTATCTTTGTTTAATTTGAAGGAGAGTCACCGAGAGGTTGGAGAATATAGTTTATAAATATATGTCCCTACACACAAACACACACATTCTATATAAACATTTGCAATTTACATAGCGAAAAATTACTGACTTCTGTCCAGGATAACAATTATCCCAGTTTATATACCCATACTCCAAATTCTTCCATCCTATCCTTACACGTGTTTTGCTTATGTACAAATAATGCACGCCAAGACTTTCAACGACATGACATGATGCACGATAATAGATTTATAGATAATATAGATTAAATATCAGGTTAAATGTAATTCGACAAATTGCTTCAAATTGTCTCCACGTTGTGTCGAAAACTTGGTAAATACTTTTTCCTATGACTTAAAGTTAAATTTTCTCGAGAACATCTTATTAGATATAAGAAAAGGGAGAAAGAGTTGCAGGTCAATGTGAGAGAAAAAGCTTGAAATTGAGTCGCGGTATGATGTGTAGTCAAAGTGTATTCGGTGATGACATTGGCAAAAGGGCAGGGGAAAGAAGGAAAGGAAGAAAAAAAAAAGAGGGAAAGAAGAAGTAGGAGGAAGAGGAGGATGTGGTGGCTGGCGGTGGTAGTGGCAATGGTGGTAGCAACGGCGACGGCGGTTGACGGTTGACGGACGACGGACGACGGTCGACAGTCGACGGACGACAGTGGCAGACATACAACGTTGTAAACGAGCAAAGTTTCGAACCCAATATGCGCTGTCCAGCGCGGATGCTTGGAGCCCATATTCAAGCTGTCAAGGTGCGGCGCACGTGTGTCCACGTCGCTTCCCGGTATGCCAGACGGGTAAACCGGGACAAACTTTCGAACTGGCACAGACCGTCTGGCACCCTACCACCGTGTCTCAGAGAACCCGCGAATTCCTAATACGTTATTGTACGTCGGCATCGTTTTGTTCGTACGATCGACCACACGATGTCTGGGTTTCCCCGACTAGGAATTTCCTTCCTCTTTATTAAGCGTATTAAAAGTTTCCCCACTAAACGCTAACTGACTTAGATTAATTACATATAGTTGTTCACTCTTTCTTTCGTTGTTCATTCGAAACAGAAAATCTTTCGTCAAATAGCCTCTAACAAACGTTTGCAACACTTTCTATATCCAATTATTTGCACATTTTCACAAACATTAACAATAATCGCTCTTCTCGAAATACTTGACCGATACGATTAAAAGTTTCACATATTGAATATGTATGCACACGCGCGCGCATGCACAATCGGTGCATCTCGACAAGTTAGCGTGCGCATACGCATTAGAGGTGTCTGAGCTTAAACGAATGAATTAGGAGAGAAGAGTGAAAAGGGCAAGGACGTGGCAGACGCCACGACACGTCTATACCCTCTAATCGGTAATTATGGTGCATTGTCTTCGTTCGACCATGTCGTTCAATCAGTCGATGTGACCTATTTGTCTATTTTCTACCCTTATCCAGTTTTTGCCTTTGCGAGATAAAATTCTATTCATTTCTGTAATATCAACAAAGCATCTACATCATTCAGTTAGGAAGTTGACAATCTTTTGCTAGATTATAAATTTTTTTTTCAAATTTCTTGAAGCTTATTCGTGACATCTCTGTTAATTCACGCGAGAGTCGAAAGAAAAATTGAACGTAAGTACTTTCTCTTTTTCGCAATCTTTTGTATTTTTCATCTCAATTTCAATGTATATATACAGAGTGTTATGTAATAGCCTCCTCACCTCTTACTTACGGGTAGAGCAGATTAGACTGTGTTGAAAAGTCCTCTACCATTTTGCAATTTTCGCAATGGTTAACGATTTTTAATAAATAATAACTCGTTAACTATTACGAAAATTATAAAATGGTAGAGGACTTTTCGACTTATTGTTAATCTAGTCCGCTCTATCCGCAAATAAGAGGTGTATGTATGTACATATACGTCATATCATACAGATATGACGTATTACACATTATGCTAATCTATTTTAACCTCCCCCTTGTAATGAATCTACGAAACCTAGATTGGAAGTTGCGACTGGACAAAATAATTTAGCAATCTGATGGTATTCAACGATAATATATGACGAGACGCTGTTTAATGAATATTTTACACTATTCGCCTCTTTGACATAGTTTACTGTGTAGACTTCTCTCCTCCCCCTTCTCCCCCCCCCTCTCTCCCGTCCGTGATATCGATTAATCTACGTTAACCGCAATAAGACTAATAATTATCTCATTTAATCATTTTAGTTTTGAAGAAATAATTATAATTTAAAAATAATTTTAATTCAAACGCGATAAGCATTCATAAAGATAAAAAAGTATCTTTATTCGAAAGTCAATGGCCAAAAATAAGGTGTCGGTTGTAAGGTTAAAATAAATATTGAAAGAAAATCAAAGTACGGTTATGAGTCTTTTTGCTCCTGGACAACTTGCATGTAAGCCCGTTAATCGAGTAATAGTACGAGTAACGAGTGACCATTACTCGTACCATTGTTAGAGAAATTGCCTCAAAGAATTGTATCCAGTACAACAGATTTTCTGAAAAAAATGTAACTTTTATATTGGCACATCTTTCTGAGAATTGACAACATCTATTGAAGTTAACGACAAATATTTTAATATTTAAAACATAATATTTAAAGAATAACTAAATAATATTTCGTGACAAAATATTGCTGCTTCTGTTACAGTTACCGATTGCGAGCAATCACAACAAAGTTGGTCTTGGATCGAGGAGAACGGATGTTTCTAACATCGAATTAGATTCCAACACGGAGAAGAAGCAGGCAGTTTGGCGGAAAACGCAAAAACGTTATAAAGAAATAGTGGATTAACTTGATAACAAATTAATAATTAACTAACGGCTACAAACTTATTTTATACAACCACCTAGTCGCGTATTATAAAAGATATAAATAATTTTTTAATTAAAAAGAAAATTTACCGTTTATTGATCATGAATGATAAATATTGAAAACTTTTCCAAACGCCAAAATAAATAGGAAAAAACTAACTTAATAACGAAAAAAAGAATTTTAATTTAGTTGTAAAAATTTGCTAAAAAAGGCTTTGATCATTATCTTTTTTATCATAGCTATTATTTATTATTTTCCACACACACACATATATACATATATATTTGTATTTAGAATAAGGAAAAATATTGATAATAACTTCATAATTGACTTGAAATTCTAATCTTGCACCAAACATATTTCACACTTAAGTTCAACATTTATGACGTATATGTTTTGCTGTTGTACAAATAAAGACAATCGTATTTCCCTTTGCCCAAATAATGATCATTTAACAACTTTCTTCATACATCTACCGCGTTTATATGTAAATAATGATAGAACAATAATTGGATATTTGAAGACGAGACATAAAAAAGAAATCAAATATTATGTTACGCTGTGTTTAAGAATCGCCAAAAACCTCGTAGACTCCAGTCAAGTTCAGCCGCTTTCTCACCCACCGCGATAAAAAGTCAATTTTATATACCGTTTGGTATACTTGAGTCTGATAGCGTTCGAATGAACGTCGAGACCGCTCAAATCTATGGGAGTTTTTAGCAAGATAGAAATTATAGATTTCACAAAATTTTGTTTTAACTTAATCAACCTTACCTTACTTGACGCAAGCAGCAAACTCGTGGGTTCTATGTTTCCAGTTATTAATTATTAAAAATGGCCCAATTAAAGCTCGCTGCGAGATGCGGCCGTCCCGCAATCAGCGCGCGGGGAGTTGTTTATTGTACGTAGCCCTTGCCGTGTGTCATAAACAAGTCCCTGCGCGCTTAGCAACGCCGATCGCGGGACGGCCGCATCTCACCGCGAGCTTCAATTGGGCGGTTTTTAATAATTAATAACTGGTTAACTATTGCGGAAATTGCAAAATGGTAGAGGACTTTTCGACTCGTCAGTCTAATCTGCTCCATCCGTAAAGAAGAGGTGAGGCGGCTATTACATAACACCCTGTATAAGTTATAGAAATTTCTGCAACTGTGTGTGCAAACGGATGTGAGGAAGAAAAAGAGGCAGAGCGAAAAAGCGAAAGAAGAAATGGATAGAAGCCGTACAGACAAACAAGAAGACAGGAAATTGACGAGACTAGTAATGTAATAATTAGCACGGTTATTTACGCAGTTCCCTTGGCGCCTTTCAATTATGTATTTGTGAGCGCGATAACAAATTCATGGCACGACGGTAAATATATTATAGATCGCAACGATATAGATACTACACACGTTTAAATGATATACAATATGTATACATATAAATATATTTTACAGATAGGTGTCAGAGTTTCAAATCTTTGTATTAAATTAGAAACTGGTTGGAGTTCGTTTTGCATGTTCCTTTATAAATAGTTTTCTTTTCAATGATAAAATGAAATATCTAACGCGTAATTGTATCCGGCATTTCTGACATGGCTCGCGTAAATACGAACAAGTTATAAAAGCGACACGATGAATTTACGGAAACGTACCGTATCGAGTGTAGTGGAAGAGAATCGCGGCGGATCTGGTCATTGAGTGTCTAGACACGGCGGCAACGTCAGAGCAAATCGGTGCTAACAAATGGCTCTCGTTTGTTACCTGTCAGCCATTTTTCGGTTCTCTCTAGTCTAGTGGACAAGCCTCATCTAGCCTCGATGCATCTCTCTACTGACGCTGAAAGAGAAAAAGATGGAGGAGAATCAACTTGGAATCTAATCGTTCACATTTTTCTCCACTTTCCCGAAACGACCTATCCACTTGACAATCGGATCCATTTTTCACATGTTACATGTTTCTTCGCTTTGGACCCATTGTCAGTTACATTAGATAGATAATGCAATGATAACAATTGGAGAAATGAACATTGGCTATGTTTATCTCAAGTCGTCTCTAATACGATAATAAAACGCATTAGTGATAGTATTGATGTGAGATAACAATGACATAACACAATGACAATATGTTGTTCATAATTTTAAATTTCGTGCAACAAGGTATACGTGCGTGTAACAAATTTCAGTCGCGGCTTTGTCGTGACAGTATTTAGCCTACATTGTGAGACAAAGGGTCAGATCCGCGACTATTTGATAAACCACTGCCACTTGCGTATGTTTCAAAGTCACAAAACCCACAGCTACAATCGCAGTGCGACTCTAGATAATTTCTGTACGCTGTAATAAAGAAATTAAAACCACACGGGTATGTATTATTATCGCGCGTACACAAATTAAAATTTTGTTTTCTTTCAAACTCGTATGCGGTTAATAAATTAAGTCGGAATCGCATTGCACATTTTAATTAAACTATGTGGTCTTAATAATTATAATAATACTTGATTCTAAGTATCCTAATGACGTAAAATCAACTACCTGCGTGTATGTATAGTCACGACGGTCACGACTGAGGTGATCAGATATGTATATACATATATAAAACTTCATACAGGTAATAACCAATAACAAGGCGTGTTTCTACGATTCGCAAGTGCAATAATGCGGCTACCATATGTGCCCAGCAAGTAATAATATTATGTTTCCAATTGCGTTGTAAAATGTATCGCTTGTATCGTTCGTAAGATTTTCAATACTTGTATACGCACGCATACACAAAATATGATGCGTTAATTGCAAACAGGTTCTCTCGCAAAAGGTACTTTCTCAAGCTATTTCTAATATTCCGATGTACGTGGACGTATCGCGGCAATAATATAATTGTTGAGCTAATCATTTAACATTTACAATTTGCATTTCAAGATGGAAACGCAATTTCTTGGTGAATTTTCTTTTAGAAAAAAAAGTGAAAAAGTTTTACCTAAGGTATTGTTTGACCTATGGCTAATTACGACTGAAAAAAAAGGCAATATACAGGATACACTGATGATAACGAAATCAATGCAATTGTCAGGTTTAAAGTAAACACTGAGTACGAGCATTCCACACTCGAGATGAATACGGATAAGAAAGTTGTTTAGATTGTAAAAGACTTTAGAAATGAAAATGGTGGCAGCATGTTTGATCGACAGACCGGACGTAGAGTACAGCACCGACAGAAACAACAAAGGTTTCGGTTCTGGCTGGGTAATAATCCGTAGCCGTTGTTAGCATTTGTCCACGAAGCGCGTTCTAATAGACAAACGTGTACGTTGATACGCGTATGTATGCACGTGTGGGTACCTTTACGCGGTTTGTAATTGTAGGGGCTAGGAATGCGGACGCACGCATGAAGTAGCAACCGGTAGACAGTACAGGATACGCTTTACAGTCTACCCCTTCCTCCGCACGTTTATGTATATTCCTATTATCAGAGCATGCACGGGCTATGTGACCGCAATTAATTAGCAATGAAAAAAAAAAAACAAATGCAGCCTCAGCCGTACGTGATATCTGATGTATAAGTTGTACGAAATTTGACGGCTTCTCTCAGCGATACGCAACGAAACGAATGCGTGTATTTTATATTTATATATCAAGAGTATATCAAAAGAGGGATAAAGAGGAAGGGATAAAGAGAAGAGGAAATTGGGAGGGGGAGGGGAAGGGAAAGAGAGAGGAGATATTGTATGCGAGAGTTCAACTACCTCGCGAGAAGGGCGCGTCCACGTGTCCGCTATTACTAAAGACACGTCACAACAATAACATTAATAAATAGATTATTTGACTCCCACAGAATGACATGTGCCTACGAAAGGGCGGCCTAATCTATGACAAGTAGTTCTTCCTGTTTTGTAGACTGATCTTTGTTCCGTGGTCATTTAAGCTATCTCTTGCTACCTTGATATATTGCTTTTTCAGTCGTGGCATTCATAGCTGTCACACCGGACATACGAGAGCTCGATCGATATCATATTAATATATCCCGAGTAATCCAAATCAAATATCAGTTAGTTGTGTCTCAGTGTGTCAGTAATCTGTCAAAAGACAAAACACGTATGACATAAGATCCATATTATGGACATTGATACTATTCCAAGGCGTAACTTACGAATCATACGTAATTACAATAAGAGCTGGTAAAGATGAAAAAGTATACATTTCAAATTGACATTCTATAGACGAAATAAACATTCATTAATATTGCTCTGCAGTTTGTCAAACGGTTAAAATATTCTTCAATACTCAAATATACGTGTATGTTAACAGATGGTATGTGCTTATAATAGATGAAATAAATGGCGAGGACGCAAAGACGCGATTATTGCCTATAACAATGTTTGTAGTGCGTAGATAACCTGTTCATTTAGCAAATCACAGACCCAAGTTCTATAAATAGTTTGGAACCGTTGAAAGAGATGAGTTCCAAGAAGGCGAGCCACATCCTCCGGTACAAGTGCTTCTGACTCGTCAGAAACAAGAATATCGCATAGATAAGTGGCCGCACAGTAGGATGTAGAACACATCGTGAATAAGTAGGTTAAGAAAGTGGTGGATAAAAAAAAATTGAAACACGATAGTCACTTGATTAATTTTATTTCGATTGCAGATTACGTCGCAAATGTGTAAATATTACATAACTTTATCATACTATGCCGTCCATATTAATTAACACACTCAAACATTTTCAAGCATTTCAATTATCACTTGGTAGAATTACTTACTTTCAGACAATATGTTCTGTCACTTATAATGTATTTCACAAAAATGCGTTGTTATGTATTGTCGAAAAAAAAACCTGATTACCATTCATATTCTTTGAACAAAACCATTCAAATCTGTTAGAAAAAGAATGCAAGTGTCAGAATTATATATTTGATGAGAGAAACCTGCTTTATATCACTTTATGTTACTTAATCCTTAAAAGAAGAGAAAGCCTTTTAAAGAAAGTTGTCATTAAAAACATTTTATTTTAATATTTAATTTTACACTAGAACAATCTATTTGTTCTACTATTTCTACTGATCAAAATACCGGTCAAAATGTCACATGTTCTTTCTCTCTTTCTGTACAAGTTTGGTAAAATTACGTTATATGCAAAGAAAGGAGGCTGAAAGAAACTATTGTAGAAATAAGAAATGCAACAAATATCTCGTGCAAAATTGTGGCCTTAATTCGTGTTTTGGATGCAAAATGGAAAAATGTGACAATTGGCAAGGTATACCAGCAGACACGTGTTATATGTAACTGCCGAAAGCGGCGCGTAAAATCGATTTACAGAGTCGATCGCGTAATTAGCGACAGTTACGTCAGCTAAAGCTAAAATCACTCGGCGTATGTACGAGTGTGTCATGTACGTAACCATCGCGCCAGCGCTTGCAGCATATGTACTCGTGCGCAAGCAGCACGCATAACATAGGTAATACGATAGCTATGTAGCGCAGAGTTACGCGAACCCAATAATACGTCTGACGGCCGTCTAGACGGGGCTACATAAATGCGGCACATCGCTCCATGTGTAATCCTGCGTACGCACGATCATACGTGCTGTACGTACTTACACGTGACCGTCGCTCGTCGTCATCGTCGATGTAACGCCATGCACACAGCGTTGCGAAAGCGAGTTATATGGCATGGCTGCTGCACTCTCACTCTCGCTCTCGCGTCATCTCCCCCTTCCCCTCTCTATCTAACTATCCATCCATCTATTCGTCTATATATATATATATATATATATATCTCTCTCTCTTTCGCACCACAATCGGATATCCTACGATATCGCAGAGCATCCTCCACGTTCCTAGTAGATTAGCATTAGGTTGGATTAACTTGAATATAATATAATCGACACGTTGCTTTCTAAAAAAATTCAGCAATTAACGTCCGATTTCATTCTTCTTACTTAAAAAATGTTTTCTACAGTTTTTCTTTCTTACGTTACAAATATCTCTCAGGCTGAGATATCGTATGTCGTCGTATTTCATCAATTACGCGTAACCGTGATACCTTGACGCGCGAGACTATAACGTCAGGTGCAAACGTACAATTAAATAAATGAATAAATGCGTTGAGATAAATAGATTGAGATTTGTTGTTAAAAGGAAGAAAGTAATCCCCTCGTAGGTGCAACGATATAGATACAGTTAAAGCTGGACGAGAGGTGAAGATACATCGGTTTGCCAAGGTGACGGAATATATAAATAAAAGGAGGAATGAAAGGGAGAAAAAGAGAATATGTACCAACAGTGCGCCTACTTTCTACCTTGGGTATCCACAACGTCTAGAATCGACTATGTGTACTCGCGAACGGAATGAGGCGTGAAACCAGTTTCCATGGAGAACTTGAACGGTTATTCTTCTCACGGTACTTGAACAGCTATTACGACTAGTCATAGATAGTAACCGTAATTATTTAATAGTACCCGTGATTGGCTCTCCGTATAACTAACTCCATCTTCTTCTCATCCTGTCGTCGCACCTTTTTTTTCTTACTGTCGTTCTTTTCCTCTCGTTATCGCTTCTCACCTCTTTCTGCGAAAGTTGAAATACTTTCTCGGCCGCTCCATCGCCGCGCGCAATGTTTAGGGCAACGTGTCTTTATATTCTTCGCGTTATGTATCCTTGCAAAAGAGTCAGACCGAGTATATTAAATTTTACACAGTTACGTATTCACACAATCTATAATCGAGATTTTTCCATTTGCATTTTTTATTAACTTTATTGACAATTTGACTTTTAACTTTAATGACAAAGATTAAATAGCACGTTGAAAAAAAGTTATAGAAATCAAATTCTTAATATATATTCGCGCAGAATAATAGTTAATAATTTCATTCGTCGATCCTTTTCTTGGAATAATATAGGATCTGTTAACTATAAACTATTATGTGTGTTAACTAAAAATTAAGTTTTACTAGTATAAATATAAGTATAAACATTTTTTCCGGTTATTACGAATATACATATAATTCCGCTCATCGAGTGTACTTCTCTCATTGTGTAAGGAAGTGCGAGAGTATCCTGTGCTATAGCTATAGCTACAGACTAATGATTCCGTCTGAGTGGGAAATTGACCACTAGGATGCTGAAAATCTTCGACCACTAGTCGAAAGAAGAAGACGTAAAAGAAGAAGGAAAACAAGGATAAGTACGAGAAATTATATTATTTTTGTAAATTCTCTCTCTCTCTCTCGCGCGCGCTCTCTTCTCTTTGTGTATGAGAGAAATCTTCTTTTATGATCCAGAATGAGCGTTTAAGCATAAAAACCTTGCGAAAAATATCAATTTATTACTGAGAAACTAATTTTGATTATCGATTAATGTTAGTTATTAGTGACTGCATACACTTTTAAAAGTTTTCACGCTATATAATGGATATAAATAATTCAACATTAAAAAATATTTCGAGGCTCGTTTCTCATTATATAGCATCGCGATAGTCTGATATACACAAGTATAGGTACTTGACATTGTCAAAAGCAGAGAATCGTCAAGTTCCTTCTGGACTGTTACGGAGAACAAACATGCCATGAATTGTCTTTTGTAAAATATCATAGAAGACTACGCGCCTCGTTAGAGTTGGACTGTCAGATTGCGCAGGTGGTCACAGTGGACGTGGATAGATGGGCCATAGCGTGGGCAACACCAACCATGGTCCTTGCAGGCCTCTTCTTCCCTGCCTTGTTTCTCGCATCTCTCTTCTCTTCCCCCTTTCCTTTTTCAGTAAAAGGCAACACGCTACAACCTCTTATTTTTTACTCTCTTTCATCTTCATAGTTTTTAGTTTGAAATAATTTTATCAGGTTATTATCCTAGTTTGGTATTTTTGTAACACGTAGAAGAACGAATGGTATGCCGCTCTACCCGTGTACTCTTTAACTTCGTTACTAAGCTTTTGTTGATCTATTTGTTTACGCGAGAAAACTATTCCACAAAACTTGTAATGTATGTCAATCAATTCAGACCACTGTTGATCCTCGAACTGACTTTCTGTAAACTTGCAGCCAGCGTACGTATACATGCACTCGAACACGTGTTCAAGTATATACATAAGTGTAATGTTACCGATTCGTTGGCAATCGCACACGAGTTTGTTGGAAGGTAAGAAAACATTTTAACATTAGGCATTTTCTTGCGAAGAAATAACCAAGAATGAAGGCGTATAAACGCTCTCCAGATAAATACAGCGGTTAGGAACAGACAATTATATAATTGCAACAACACGTCGCACCTAAATACGCAAAGAGAATAAGAGAATAATAGAAAATTGAAAAGAATAAGACTTACTACTGGACGCATCGTGAGAAGAGAAATGTGCACGTCGGTAAGACGTATCGAGAACATCCAAGGAGAGAGAACCAACTTGAGGGAACCGTCCACGCTGCGGAGCAGGGTAGAAACAATCAAGTTTTGAAGGGTTGACTCGGTCGGGGGCATCAAAGGTTGAACGAAGGGGCGAGCGGTTTCAACAACCCCACTGAGTGGCTATTAGGCACCCCAAGCCAAGCAAGAGCAATTTGCTATAATCATTACCATTCAGGATCTCCGAGCCGAGAGGGCCCATTTCTCCGTTCGTCTCTCGCCCTCTTCGGCGAAGCACCCATAGCTTATGCAAGTACCATTGTCAATGGTGGGTAATATCTGACCACAACCATGCGCATCTACGGCAAAGTAACATGGCATCTATGTAACTGTAGTTTACACTCTTGAGAAATGATATACAAAGAAGCTATACGAGAGACGAAGACACGCGCCTTCTCTTTGAGTAGACGAGAGAAACTCTTTTTATACATTTTACATGCCTAGAGTTTTATTGCAGAGTATGTACGGTAGATGTAAACATTTCGTGCGACGTTTAAGTACGCGCAGGCTACGAGCATCGCTCTGTCTTAAAGCGGGGAAGATGTAAAGAGAAAGAGTACGTAACTCGAGTGATAGTAACGAGTCAAAGAGGAAGGCACTACAGAGTGTAGACTGTGGAGGACAATTGATGAAAAAAACGGCACGAGAAACGATGCGCGATGGTTTGAGCTTCTCGGAAGGTCTATATCTGAGACTGGAAGGCTGCACATGTGCCGTCTTTCAAATTATCGACTACTACTTTTGAGAAAGTGCGTGCTTGAAATACCTCGCGTGAAAATAATTACTTCTTTAATATATACAAGGCGAAGTAACGAATGGCCGGGATAAGAAAGAGTGAAAAACAAGTTGTAATGCGACTCGGCGCGTAAATTCCACCCGCGCACACGTGTACCGTCAAGTATCAGCTATCAAATACGTTATAAGCGTTGAATGCGCGTGGAATCTTGCGTAAAGCGAGACCAAGCTTCCGACTAAGGCTTGATTGTGAGCAAAAGTGGCCGCGCGGCTCGAATCCGTCTACCTGCTTGCCGGTCACAAAACACGACGTTTCGTGGACGTTTCGTGGACGTTTCGCGCCGCCCTAAAAGTCTGTTCCATTCGGTGACGTCGGATGGCCGGACTCGAGGACTCGGCGAGTCTAGACTGCCGGCAGACATGGCAAAACAACGATATATTCAGTCTCGCTTCGTTCGCTGACCGCAGTCAGCGAATGGCTGCCTTTACACGACACGATACTACTTCCAGCGAAAAGATTCGCCGCGAGGAAAGAAAGGAAGACGAACAGGACGAAATGTATTTACTGGAAATTTACAGGCTTTCTTCACGTGTACGCAGCCAGGGGCAAACTACATTGATGTACTTTTGTCGATACACACTTCCGTTCTAAAATTATAATGGGTTCTTTGCGGTTTCGTCTCACAATCAGAGTTCCTTTTTTGTGGTTTTCATTGTTCCGCGTAATCTCAGTGACAATCTATTGACCTAGATGTAACTAAGGATTTAAAAATACGCACAAGAATAGATATATTTTTCCTACATGCATATTATAAATACGATAAACATATAGCATTGTCGCTCGTGTTCTTTTCCCCATAAACTTGTTTTCATTCTCGTGGTCAGGCCACATGCGGATTCTTCCTGCAGATAATGCGAATGTATTATAGAAGACGCGCAATAAACGGATTCCATTAAATCTGTATCCATATTCACCAGCTCGAGAGAATCTCTTGGGACAATTTGTAACAAATGTAGCAACGCGGACGGAAGAATAGAAAGAGAGGAATAAAAGGACGAGAAGATGTGTTTTTACGGTATTATTTTATCCGCCTACTTTTGTAAGTATGCATCATTCATATTACGATCAAACCTTCCAAAGCTTTTTCTGCGTTCAAATTCAAAATTCATGTTACGCGGTCTACTCTGTTTTTCTCGATAATTTACAACGACGATACGAGTAACGATGCTCGTTTGCAACTGCAATCAGACCTATTGTATCAAGGAGTTGATCGGCACATTCTTTCGTTAGTACACGTCAAACAAAATGGTTAGGTATCTCTAGCCACTCTGCTTTCCCACTGCCTACACTCTACAGGAAATATGTGTGAGACGAGCAATCTGTTTCTACAAGAATAAATTTTGTTTTGAGATTCGTTGTGTCACGACAGTGAAAACACTGTCGTCCAAATTATCGTCCAAGTAGTCTTAAAGGGACCATAGCTCTTTGTATCGTGAAATAAAATGTTGTGTTATATTGTTACGAGAGATGCACGAGAAGCATTGGTGCATTGCGTTGGCGTGCACGTGTTGAACGTAAATCTTTAGGCATTACTGATGCAGCCGTACGGCAGGAGGAAGCTGACGCGGATACACTTTCAAGAATGGGAACAGAAACTGTGAGACATTGTGTCCCTTTGAGAAATTTCTATGCCGACATGAGAGCATAAAAATTGCCAAGTTAAGTTGTCGAGCTAACGCGTCCGTATGCATGTCATATACATTATATCGTACTACATCGATAAATCTTTATCGCGGTGACTTTTACGTGAATATACGTTATCTTAGCTGCGTTCTATTCACACTCAAGTTGACAGGACGTTCCAAAACATGGTCACGTTTCTATACAACTGCCACAAACCCTCCACAGAATACGTAATTACACAAGACTATTGGCAATACGGTAGCATAATGTTCACCTCGAGTTACTGACGAGCCCTGATGACGCAGTTTCACCGATTATGCACTGCCAATTCAGTGTGCAGAGGGTACGCGCACGTATATACGCAAGACATCTATCGTCGTTTATCTATCAGCGAGACTCGAGCGCGTCTGGACACATAACGACTGATCGCGTACTATAGGGAAACCAATGATATTTTCGATGAAGAAGAGGATCAATTATTTACATGGCACTGGTGTACGCAAACAATATTTAAAGAGAGTTTATGACACCTACATAATCTTGATATAGATTAAATGAAAATGACATTTATTTCCTGTTGCATAGATACGAGGAAATTTTTTTTATCTGTTCGATTACCCTTTGACAGAATTTGTAACAATAGCGAAGAAATCATTCTGGTAAAAATTATACATTGATACGCGCGCGAATTTCCACCACTGATACTGAATGCATAATCGTTTTTCCGTCCTGCGTCGTTTCTGGGTTTTTGCTTGTTTCGAAATATTAAAAATAAAGTCGTACGATACGTAATTATTCCAGGATTGCCAGTTCTCCGACGGTCAACTGACCATCTCACCACCACCTGAAACAATTTCGATTCCTCGATCCGTGCTCCCACCGTACTTGATCAAATCAACGATATTTTTGTGCTTCCATACAAATTGGCAAACAAATTGGCAATAAACGGCTTCAAGGTTTTCGACTGTCGACATGAAAAAATTCAATTGTCATCAGAAAATCGCAATAAATACCATCGTATGAGATAATCTTGAGGAAATGTAATAAACAAATTTATGGCGTGTACTCTACAGAAGAAGAGAAGTATAATAGAAAAAATATACAAAACGAGAATGCGTAAAGAACATCGATTGATAAACGAACAGCAATTTGGTCTGGTAAATTATTAATTGAAAAGAAGCCCAGACTGCATAATAGTCGGAAAACTCCAAGTGGATTCTTCGATCATGCAATATTTTCCAAGCTTGATTGATCGTATTTTGCCGGTCCACGAATTGCGAGCGAAAGCAGGATCGAGTGCAGAGCGAATGCAGAGCGAATGCAAAGGTAGGTAAACATTTTCCCGCTGGTCACCGATGTTTCTTCCACTTTGCGCTCTTATTTTCTCTCTCTCTCTCTCTCTCGTGCGCGCGCGCTGATCATCATTCTATCTGGCCATCTATTATATCTACCTTAGATCTCGTCAAGCAATAGTGAGCATCACGTTCATTGACTACACAGTAGACGAACGGCTTGGGTCGGACCATATACAGGCTAGATTCACTCGTTTCAAATCACTTCGTCACTTGTACACGTGTACCAAAACCAACCAATGTACCCTGCAACGTATGTTCAAGCTATTATTTTCACAATTTTAATATTTATTCGTTATTTATGAATTTTACAATGCTAAAAATGCACATCTAAATATGTAAGTATATAGAATGGCATAAATTACTTGCTGATGTACAAATCTATTTAAATATTACAGAATCGAAACATTTTTTTATTTTTACTTGAACATGTAGACCCAGAAAGTCTTTTGAACAAAGTAAGCTTCAACATATTCGCATATATTTCAATCTAATCACATTCATCCTAGCTTCTTTCAAGTGTAATTAATTCTTCTTTAACAAATATACAAATGTAATAATTTACACGCTATGAACCATTAAAAATCAGTTTTGACAAATTTGAACAAAGCAGTAGCAGGTAGATAACTAAATAATGGAAAGCCGACAGTCGAAAGAAAAGTTATTGAATAATCGTTAAATTATAGAATAGTTGTACAGCAATTGTTGCACTAATTCCGATTGAAATCGCGCAAGTTTGCTATTTTAACATTTCAGTTCACTTCATCAGAGAAAAACCTGATACTATTATTCATATTGTGTGAAGGATTAACGTAAAGTTTATACATATACTTTGATGTCACGTAATGAACATAAATTAGTACACTGCCGTTAGAAGAAGGATAAAAGAATACGGACGCACACACATCACATCCCATCACACGATGAAATTCATCAAAGTGGGATAGTTTAGCGGGAGTTGTGTAGACGGGATATATTAAAAGGAGTACATAGTATTTCCAGTAGCTGATATTGTCACGTGTCCAGGGGGCGGTACCTAGTCGGGGGTCGGCGCCAAACCGCGAGATATAATAAATACGTAGGCAGTGTGCATCCACCAAACACCAATTGCATCTTATTACTAAAATAATATGTATTGTATCTCATCTTCCTGTTTTCTTTCCATACATGTAAGTACATGTATTCTTTCAGACAATTTATCGTGGCACGATTAATGACTAACAAAAATAATAGCATTATTTCGCTGGTTCTCCTTTCCCCCAGACTTTCGAAATAACAATCGGAAGTCGCAACTTCAATTTCTTTTGCCTTTTATGTCTCTGGTCAGTGCAAAACACGTGAAATTATAAAATTTTTTATTTCTCTCCATTGGATTCTTTTCTTACAATTAGATCAGTTCTACAAAGCACTATGCGACTGTTGCAAACCACCATCGCGACTATCACCACGATCACAACCATGACCACCACCACCGCCGCCATCACCAACCATCACCTCCACCGACACCACCACCGCCCTCGCCTTCGTCACCGCCCCGTCCCCGTCCCCGTCACAGTCGCTGCTACCGCCACCTCCACCGCCACCTCCACCTCCACCGCCACCTCCACCTCCACCTCCACCGCCACCGCCACCGCCACCGACCACTACCACCGCCACCACCGTCGCCACCGCCACCACCACCACCACCACCGCCACCGTCACCGCTGCAATCGCGCGCTCAAAGAAGGGAAGTGGGGACGATACAACACAGCGCGGCCGCGTGTGCAGACTGCTTTTGCAGAGCTTCGCTCGGCATACGGCGAAACGTTTCGCCCTGTGCTGCTGTTACTGCTTGCTGTCGACTACCAACTGTCGACTGCTTCTCTTAGTCTGTCCGGCGGTCTTTTGCGCGCTTAGTTTCGACAGACGAACCTGCGCGTCGCGCCGCGAAACAAACTCATAGAGGATCGACAATCATGTCGTGAATCTAACGAACTCTCCATCAAAAATCTTGGTGAATAGCTAAGAAAGAACGATGTCTATCAACGCTGAGGATGCTGAGGTAAATCGCGCGAAATCCATCCATGTGAACTATCGGAAAATTCACAAATTTGGTTGCAAAGAATAACAATTAAGCGTGAACGGCGCGCATAGTTAAACCATGTGTTGTCAAAAACACGAGGACCCTTGAAAATCGCTGCTTGTGCAATGTGCATTTTGTTTTGTAAGACGCGCCTACACCACGTGTCGCGATAATTCGCGACTGGTGGCTTCAAAAGTGTTATCGTGCTTCGATCGATAAAATAAAAGGAACTATGAATATTGGCGGAAAGGCAAGGCGATAGGACAAATGTAATACGCAAACGATACCGCCATTACGTTTAACGCGAAACTTTCAACCATCCACAGGTGTTTGAATCGATCGATTTTCGCGTCCCATGAATGTTACAATACGTAATGATGATAATCAAAGAATCGCGTTGAAAATGTTACAAGATTCAATAAGATTTGACGTATAAAGAGAAAATAATTGAATCGTTGGAAAAATCTTATTGTTATTTGCACGCGTACAAGTAAAAAGATGGGATCTTGAAATAACGAGAAACGAAACACATGCCGATCAACAGGCAAAAGTATTCAAGTAAAGTAACGTAATATTATCTGATATTATAGCATTAGGCATTTCTATAGAAAATGTAAATCATTAATATAGAAGCCGACTCTTATCAAACACTCAAAAAGGGAACAGTTGCGCAAAATTTTTCAATTTTCAAGATCAAAAGACATTGATCGAAAACTGAATTACGATATAATACTAATTTAGGAAATCTGTGCGTAAAATATTCTCTCAGAGGGATGACATTTATTCGATACGGGTCGCGATATAAACTACATCAGCGTATCGTAATTAATTTAAATTTTCCCAAATTTCACACTACCAATAATAACTTTCGTATTCTATGGTCGAGCATATGCACAAGCGTGGAATCACGGTGAAGACATAAAACAAAATTCAGTTTTTTATTCAAACAGAAATCGTCCGCAACTTAATGGGAAAAGACAATTCTCATTCTGAAACATTCAAATATACAGCGAGAGAGAGAGAGAGAGAGAGAGAGGGGGGGAGGGAGAGGAAGGAGGGATCTGTTTTGATAAAAGCATATGCGCGATACAGAAAGCAAAATCTATGATATGAATTTCATTCAATAATCAGGGACAGCGGTGAACTGATATTGATACGTAATTCACAATCTTCCGATCTGCAGTTTACGTGGTGAAAACGAAGATCCGAATTGGATAAGAATCGGCACAGGCAGATGAAATGTGAAACATCAAGTCGGCACGTTGCAGACCTGGCGGGAACGAAGGCGGAAGTTAAGAAAGCTGAGGTGAGATTCACCGCAGGGATAGCGGCACGTCGGGAGAGCACCTGGCGCGGGCCGCCTGAGATGACGGCCTTGCGGCAGGATATCACGGTATCCCCATATAGAACCTTCCTCTTGGTGTCACTAATCGGATTACTGCTCCAAATCCACTCAACGACGGGTAAGTGTTTCTCTCGACAGTATTTATATCGATTCTATAGCTTCGCCTCGTAGCGAATCAATAAGAAAGCACTTTATTTCCAACATTTTTACATTTTCTTGTAAATCTTGCAAGTTAAATTATAATGTAATATGAGCGGTACAACATTGTTGAAAACAAAGCTTTAACCACTACGTTTTTCTCGTAATCGAATAATCGAGTTGCTCTTTCTCTCTTACCCCCCCCCCCTCTCTCTCGTATTAATGTATCAGTAAAAATACAAAAGAATAAAAATGTTTAAATGACATTGATGTGACATAGAAATTTTTCCCAATAAAAATTTATCGCCCAAGTTATGTGAGATTCTTCCTTCCGGAAACTCATCTTATTATTAATTGAAGATATAATTAAATTAAATTAAAAATGATTTAAAACAACATTATCTCATCATGAGATGGAAAAAGCTTCTTTCGATAAACTTAAACGTGTACCATTGGATACAGCATTCTCTCCTTTATGATCTGGGGATTGCCTTTATCACGAGCAATTTGCAATATTGTAATATCTTAGTGTACAATTTGTAATTTGTGATTTCACAGAGCTATAATTTCCAACATTGCAATTTGCCGTTCCGAGTATCGCGGCTTAGCTGTGTTTGTCGGTTTAGCACTTTGCAATGTAGTGAATTCATGAATTGATTGTGAGCAAAACGAAACGCAACTGTGTGTTTGAGTATATTATTCTTACATATGGCAATTTCACGTTAGTTTACACCGCACTTTTAGTACACTCTCATTTGTTTTTTGCTCTTAATTGACAGAGAAGAATTAGATGCTGAATAAGAAACTGAAGATATTGGATTTTCTACAGTATCTGTTATGTTTTGACATAAATCTAATATCATTGCATAAAATGCACATAAATGTATCCTGACAAATCTAATATATTGCATATCTATTATAACTTATCGATTTATATGTTTGCTGTTTTTACGTTGACTTAAATTTAGGTCGGCAATAGTACGAGAGATTATCAACAGACAACGGATAATCTCGACGACGATCGCCAATTACATGCAATTTCAATTAATTTGGTCTTGTCGACATTGTTGGATTATTCGTAGAAATATATAAAACGATCGACCGCCTTTAGACAGGCAAGTGCAAATTAATTCAGCGTTAATTCAATGTTTGAACGGCGGCACCGTTTATACCATAAACACAGGCAATTAGAACGCGAACTTAGCGAAGCTTTGAAAAGCTTCATTAACGTCCAAGGCGATAATTTTAGAACATATGACAATTTAAAAATTAGGGGGGTGAAAACCTATATTAATTAAGATATTATTAGTTTAGTTTAACATATTATAAGCCACATTTCCCTTTTCATTCTTCTCTATTAGCTATTGTAAATTATTTTACGATTTGGTCTCAGCCCAACAAGATAAAGTCGCATAAAACAATTTTACAAGCAATTCGAAATGGATCATCGAGAATAAAAAAGTTTAACAGATTGATTAAAGACTGGGATAAAAACTACAGACGATACAGCGCTGTCTGTTTTAGCGCTCTCTTGCCGAATCTTTGACTCTTGAAGGCCGATCATTCTGAACGGGAGGGGAAGAGGCTTTGCCGAGTCTGATATGGATGCGGAGAAGCTAAGTAAAAGGGACACGCTGAAAACGTAAAGAAAGAGAGAGAGAGAGAGAGAGGAAGAGATGCATGCATGCATGCATGCATGCATACATACACGCGCGCCCGCACGCACGCACGTACGCACGCACGCATGGACGCACGCGCGCACACGAAAGAGAAAAGGAAGAAGAAATAAAGGGGGGAAGGGGAAGGTATATACGAAACGGGGAGACAGAGAGAAAGAAGAAAAGATGAAGTGAGAGAAAAGGGGGAGGGGGGAGAAAGCCTGGTGTAATGGAGGAACCAGTTTGCGGGTCAGTGCTCCGCATCAACGAGAGGCGCTTCAGCCTCTAGACGCGCGGACGATGCCACCGAGTGAAAGAAGGACGGGAACGGGAGACTCTGTGGATCCCGTGAAGGACGTGAAGGAGGAAGGAAGGGTCTGCACATGATAGATAGAGAAAATGTATTTTGAGAAATATTGCCATTTCGAGATCGCTCTATGCTACGCTCGTTAGCTTCTCATTATAAAAAGTAATAAGAAAATAATTTGTATATCCAGGTTTCTCTGTAAAAAGACAATGCGCCATTACGTTTTTCAATTTCAGTCAATCCTGTCGATTCAAATATCTCCAAGTTACGCTGCGCGATGGAAACCTCCTTACGATATAAAGGTCTGGAAATACAAAGACACAAAATATATAATGTATAATGAAATTAGTCTTAGACATACCGATATGTCTCGACTTTGAAAAGAGATGATACGTCAATAAAATGAATATCGTGTGAAAAAGAGAAGGAAAAAGAGGAAAAGAATATTTTTCGGAAATATAAGCGTTTTCAGTACGCATAAAACTGGTTCTATTAGCTGGGCGTGTATAGATGCATCGGATTAGCACCTCGGATCCGTATCTATTGGCATGGGTAGAGTATGGTAAAAACAGTTCGACGAACATGACCGAAGGCGCAGCAGTCTTGGGAGATGGTGAGCCCGCGATAAAACACTTGAGTTATGCATTCGTGCGCGCGCGGTCGCGCGCGTGCGGCTGGCTTCATATTCTATACGAAAAAAAGTTAATATTTGAAAATCTCTAAGATACTGTCTCGCGCGATGAGTACCGATAATATTCTAGTTTGTTTCATTCGACGCAAATTCCAAGAATCAAATCCTCGGACAAGCAAATCGAACCATATAATTGATCAAGTGTAGACTCAGATTTAATTTATTGACAACGATTAAGCGTGAAACGTAGTTGGGCAATTAAATAAATGCGGTTACGAGCAAAAGACTTATTTTATATTTTAATACTTGAACATAATATAAAATTTTACTAACAATAAGAGTAAAAGTTGAGGAAAAACGAAGAAGCGTTTTTCGCTAATCCTACACTTGTATCAGTCTCTTACGAACGTTTAATAATGTCAATATCCGAAAAGAATGCTACCATCATCCTTAAGTTACAATTCAAGTAAAGAAGCACAGCTTCATGTGGTAATATCCATAAGTTTGATCGACTACTCGTAGAGATTAGTGATTCAGAGTTATAATCTCTTTGTTCGTTTGTTTATCGGGTTTTCGCTACCAACTAAAGATTTAAAGTCAGAGAATCAAAATGACCATCTATATGCATATGCCCGAAAAGTGACATCACACGCGTATACGCACGCACGCAGGACGCACGCGCGCGCGCGCACGCACGGATGACATACTTTTTTCTAATGGACTTTTCGGGATTGCTAGAGAACTCGAGGGTCGGAAGTGGTGGAAGAAGAAAAAGAGAACAAAAGGGAGAATCTTGTGGTTTTGGTCAACCGGTCGAGTTGCCGTGTACGTGGGGACAATCTCTGAGCCTTGATGACTAACCGCGTGCCCGTCTTGTCCGGGCAAGAACTCGTCTCCCCTACGGCACGTCGCGAATACCTGCCCAGCGCTTGCTTCAGCAAGCGCCGATCTTTTTACCACCTGCTGCCGCACGATCTCGCGACATCCCGTGTTGTTTTGTTAGTATATACCGGAACAGACCAAGACGATTAAAGTTTGTGTACGAGGTTCATGACAAACGGAAAGATTTATGTGTCTGCATATACATGATAAACAAATTTACAATAATATTTCATTAATTTTACTGCGATAAACATATTCTCGAATTGGCACAACAGATGTCGGAATTTCCGATAATAATTTCAAAACTGCGCTTTATTCTAACACACGGTTTTATTCCTCATACAGTAAGAAATTCAATGAATACAATTAATACGATAAACTCTCACGTATGAATTTTGTCAAGATACTTGGATTTTATGTGAAATGATTAAGTAAGCACACCGAGAACGCAAATGCACTTTAATCAGATTGACAGGTTGCATCTCACATGTCAAGAGAGCCTATTAGCGAAACGGTCTAACTTTGTCATACAAAACCTAATCTAGAGCTGAAAATTCAACGCTATCTTGTCAATGGTGCCATAAAAACACACTCTGAAAATTAATTACCGTGTATAGCTGCATTTAAGAGAAAGAGAGAGAGAGAGAGAGAGAGTGAATTAAAATAAAACAATAACCAATTATACCTCTTACCTATACTTTCGTATTATTGTCAACTAAATACGGTTAAAGAAGATAAAAATTTCTCACGCAATGACAACATAATCTACCAAGAAACCAAGCAATCAAAAAAGCGCTACAAGTAATTATATTGTAGAAAATTTGAAATATAAAATGTGGCTTTAAACGATAATTTACTTATGATAAATTTTTTCATCTTTGCAAAACATATACATACATACATACTGCACTAGAAAAGAGAGAATCTGTCGTAGCAATTTTAATTATCATTATTTTAAATTAAATTGTATTATTGTAAAATACATAGTAAAATACTACAAAGTTTCATTTCGGTTGATGAAACCATCTACTTTAAGTGACCCTAAAGGGACCGTTTCATGATAAAATAGACATGTGTATGAACCACAGTACAAAGTAGCGCGACCTTGACAAAAATTCCGTTAAAATATTTTGAAATAGCAAACATTTTGAGCTAAATAATAAATGGAGAAAATTCGGCGAGAAAGGAATGGGATTTGAAAAATGAGTAAAGGAGAGGAAGAAGGGCGTAACTGGGCCAAACGGTGGCTACGTCGCGGTCTAGACACGTCGTTCGGCACCACACCATGCTTCTCTCCTCTCTTCTCTTTCTATCCCCACCCCCTCTCCCTCATCCCTTTTCGCCCCCTTCCTCTTCTCTTTTTCACCCTCTCTCTCTCCTTCCCTCCCCACCCCTCTCTCCTCCTCTTTCTTTTCCTTTTCCTTTCCTTTCCTTTCCTTCCACCGTCTTTCTTCCCCTCTGTTTTCCATATCTTACTCCGTCGTGCCATATCGAGTCCAGAAATTAGTATGTTTGTCAAAGATAGAAATAATAATTGAACCTCTCCCATCTCTAGTAACGACGTGTATACGCTTCCTCAATTAATTCATTAATTATTGCAAGCCGCAAATAGAATGATTTTAAATATAATTTCTCAAGCATCATGCTGAGCAATGAGTGAAGACAATTTTTTGGCACGAGATGTGAAAATACTTATAAATCGCATCTACACTATACGTACGTTACTGCGATTTTCACACATATGCAATATCAATTTAATGTACCTTGACTACGAATGATGCACTGTTGCATCCAATTTCGCGAATAAAGTTATTAGCTCTGCACATTATTTTTGTAACTTTTTATGTTTTATTAATCCTTTCGTTGAATTTCCTTATTGTACAAAGTTAAAATTGCACGAGCTTGTAAACTGATATACATAATAGCACAACTATTTTTGGACAGGATAGTTATAGGAAAAGAAATCGTTGAGAGTCTCACAGCTATTTTGGCCATCCGTCTACGCTAACGTCATACTACGTCATGTCACATTCTTTCATTACGAACGTTACAATTGACGCAAATCTAAACGTGACGTTCGCGAGAACTCGAACGTAAACAAACGAGGCGAGATCGCTCGATGTGAGAAGGAAATATGTCTATTAATACCGCGTTTGAGGCGTTTGCTCCATCATTTGAGCAAATATTATAAATGACTTTAGCCAAGTTTTTACTGATTGTGAAATTACAAACTCGGAAATCATTCCTTCACGTATAAGTGATCGAGTATATGTCTACTGCTGTAATAGAATAAATCCGGATCTTTTTCATGCGTTTATCGTAGGACCAAAGTAAAGAGATTTATTATGAAGTAAAGGTAGATTCATCGAAACTAGAAACCCTCTAATAAGAGTCTGGCCATAACAGCGATTGTGGCAAAATATATATCTTTCTCTCTCGTAGGATTTTGCCACAATCGCTGTTATGGCCAGACTCTTATTAGAGGGTCTCTAATCGAAACCATCGTCAATTTTATTATACGTGATTACAGAACTAATCGTCAAGAAATTGCTGCTCATTACTACTACTACTGCTTAGGAAGGTTTAATGAACGATAGTTATCAATCCTGAACTTATAATCTATGATTATGTGAGATCCATATATGTGGATTATCATATATTGAAAAGTTCTTTCATGTGCCACGTTCACGAGAAACCCTTACAACACATTCCTGAGACCAAATTAAGAGAGAGAGAGAGAGAGAGAGAGAGAGAGAGAGAGAGAGAGAGAGAGAGAGAGAGAGAGGGGGGGGGATAGAATATAAGAGAATTGCACACTTTGCCTACTGTAATGTATTATACATATGTCAGATTGCCTCGGCAAGATAAATCCTTAAAATTTATTTATAGCAATGTTTAACATTTGTCCTTTTATCTGCTTTAAAAGAAATTTGAATGTTGCATATATTTTATATAGATGAATCTGTGTTAGGTGGCATATGTTGGTCGTCTATCAGTAATGGCCGTTGTAAGGAACTTCTATCGCAAGGTGTCACGAGAGAAAATTGTTGCGCATCTAACGCAGCAGCGGCAACTGCCTATTCCGACGAGGATCTAGACAGCGGAAGTCTCTTCTTCTGGAGAGTTCTTGGTGGAGGTGTGCAGTGTCGTCCTTGTCGAGGTACGTAATAAACTGTGATAACTGAACGCTAATTAAAATCAATTTCTTTCTCATTTATAATTCTTTTGTCTCAACTATGACTGTGTGCGCACGTGTTCGTATGCGCGCGTGTCCGTAAATACGCACCTTTTCAGTTACTTTTACTTGGAACAAAAGAAGACAAAAGCTCTTTATCATTTCTATTATTTCATTTGATTACACTGACAAAAAAATTTTTTGAAACCATGTAAATGGATTTACTTAAAATTAAGTTTTTTAGTGAAGTAAATATTTATTCCATTTAAATAAATATATCAAATTTCAAGTAAATCTGTGTATTATATTAAGTAAATTAATTTAAATCATTACATTTTCTACACTGAAATAAAGATTTTCTGAGATAGAGAATACTATTTATGAAATGAAATTATTGTTTTTCTACGCTGTAAAACTTATGTCTTAGTAAACATTTAATTTAAAATAAACTTTTTGGATATCAGTGTAGTAAGAAAGGCGTTATCTCAAACATTTTGGTTATATGTAAACATGTACAGTTAGAAATAATTGAATTGGTTCTGACAGAGAGTTGCGCGGAAGTGAGGTGCGAGGAAGGAAAAAAGTGCGTAGTACGTAGAGGAAGACCGAGGTGCGTGTGCAGCCCAGAGTGTAAGGCACCGCGTGGTGGTGGACCAGTCTGTGGAACGGACGGCAAGAGTTATAAGAGCTTGTGTAGACTGAAAAAGCGAGCTTGCAAGAAGGGCAGTCACGAGCTCGCGGTTGCCTACAACGGCCACTGCCAAAGTGAGTATGTATACAGAAGTTATTCGCCTCTGTATTGCGTAAAAGTGTTTCGCTTAAATTTTCCAAAAATCACTTGTTAAACCTTAAATTTCTTTCGGTCTCTGTTTTGTTTCGTTGGCATTATTCCTTTCGCAGAAATGACACACGATTGTATGAATTAGGACGTAAACGTAATAAAACGTGAAGGAAACGTTTAATAGTTAATACGGCCATTTACCGATTGCTGTTTCGTATTTAATCCTCGCGATTTACTATACCACCAGCGAAACGTGTCTCGGTTCCCACAATAATGGTACACGATTCTATTCACGCGAACAATGCAAAAATGGAAATATAGTAAATGTTTAATGTACTAAATGTCGTAATAACTTCGTACAGCTTGCCATTTTATCGTGTATAAATAAATAGCTGGTAATTAACAAATTTAATTATGACTATGTTACAACGCTTATATGCTAACTGCGCACACGTATTAATCGTGTATGCATTGACATACGTCAATGAAGCTTGAGACGAGCTTAAGCGTCTGGAAGATGCAAATAGCTGACATGAGCGATAAAGCTAAGAGAATAAATTATGGTATTCTAAATCTAACACTCTGAATTGTGCGATTACTTTAAAGTGGCTCGAGCTATATAATTAAACGAACGGGACGTAACAAAATGAACGGAAGCACACAATTATGGTGGAAAGCGAAGGGCTGGTGACTGAAAAGAAAAATAAAGTAAAGCAATGCGTTTATCACGGAGGCGGTTTACGACTGTGCGTAATAACGTGCAAAGTGTCGAGCAGGTTCGTGCGCACGGGTCCGGTGCGGCCAAGGTCGGAGCTGTCTGCTGGACCAGAACCTAAGCCCTCATTGTGTGAGGTGCGCCCGCAGGTGCCCCCAAGCACTCCCGCACCAGGTCGCCGGCGCACGCCCCGTCTGCGGAGCCGACGGAAACACCTACAAGAGTGCTTGCCACCTGCGACTCGCCGCCTGCCGCGCGGGTCGCGCCATTCCCGTCGCTTATAAGGGTCATTGCAAACGTAAGTGTATGTGTGCGCCTCTCTCTTTCTCTCTCTCTCTCTCTCTCTCTCTCTCTCTCTTTTGTGCGCACGCGCACCTCTGTCCAAATTTATCCCTTTTCAAAATTATTTACAAAATTTATTTTAACATCATAGGAAATATCTTTCAAAAAATCTATTGCCAAGTCGCGATCTAAACTGTTTCAAAATTAAAATATATCAGGAGATAAGTAACCTATCTATTTTTAATATTTTACAATATAGCGACAGATTCATTCGGCTTCTGCATTGAATTGGAATAGATCTTATTATTCTGTTTTGCACAATCCTAATAAAACTTCGCGACAGGAGTTAAATAACCAAGGCACAACTTACTTTAAGCGGAAAATTATGGCAGCCTAGGAGAATAATAAAATTTATCAGTAAATTTTTAAGCTATCCAATTCAATGAAACTTATTTATTTTGTTTTATCTTGAAAAAATATTGTGCACTGTTATTGAACAAAAGTTTTAAAATTGATGTCTATTTCACATACTTTATTGCCATCAATATGTTCATTCTGACAGTGATATCCTTTAACTACGTAACCCAATTATAAGATAGCGGGGTTCCATCATTGGTTCCACCATGAATTTATTGCCCTGGGAGTGAAATCTGTTTAGTGGCAAATTCAATGTTAGACCGTGTAATCGTTGCGAAAAAAGATTTAGGATCGTATTTGGATGTTGAAAACATGCTCAAAGACAGTTTTGAATTATTATTTAGGGTTTATGTAACTCTAAGATTACTTTAAAACTAACGTTTACTCAGCTTACTCAGAATTCATTTATCAATTGCGGTGACAAAGAAATGGATAGAAATGGATACATGGTATGGCTTTTATTGTCGTTTCTGTTGTCGAGTGTTTGATATTATAAGTAAAAGAGAAAAGAGAGACACAAAAGTAAAGAACATCAGAAGGCAATCCCAAGATCGTTCCAGGAAGTTCATCGACCGAAGCGTGTTCTGCTGGGTCGCAAAAGAGAAAAAATTATTTTTAAAAATGGAAAAATCAAAGAACGAGAGACGAAGATCATCGTTTTCTATACATTTTTGTCGAGAAACTGCCATAAACCTTCAACTTCAAACACGACACAATCACCGATTATCAGTCAGATTGACAGATTTTTTCCAAGAACTCATCGAGGATCCTTCAAGGAATATCACGCGATCCACACAACCACCTGGCATCTTGATTATTTCAAATAACACGCGCGCGCGCGCATACGCACGCACGTACAGGGAGGGAAGGAGAGAGAGAGAGAGAGACGCGTACACAATTATTTTAAAAAGATTTATCATAGAGTTAGCCACTGAAATATTACCACGTATTATGCATAAAATACACGTATAAACAAGCAGGAAAGCACAAGTTTAAAAATTATAAAAAATCATTTTCCTTTCACGAATTCCTATAACTCTGACAACACGTATAAAAGAATCGATTAGTCTAATATTTATTATCAAGCAACACGTCGAGAATAAAAAATAAAGGAAAAATATATCTGTAATCTTAATACGTAATTGTACGTAACTGTACGTAGATGTCTACAATATATACCGGACATATACATTTTGGTCGTAATACAGCATGAGGATGTCCAAAACATATAAATCGTTATACAATTCACGCAAAGTGGTCAGCGCATTACGCTTTGGGATCGTCGTCTTTGTATTAAAATAATTAAACCACAGGAAACAATTTTGTGTCTACTCGACACAATCAAGTTCACTCGTTCAGGAACTTTTCAGCAAGGAACACAAGCAACACAAAGTGATAGAATAAGAAACAGTGCGAATCACGTTTCGTTCCAAATCTCGTATTTAACTTTATTTAAATTAGCAAAAACCAACATTTTTAATAATATGTTTAATAAAAATACACAATTTTTTTATTCTCCTGAAGAAATGTGTATTTGTGCGCATAAGTTTTTAATTTTATAAAACTGTGAAAGGAAAGAAATCACATTTAACGTTTGAAATGCAATCTACTGGCAACATTGAGAATTAAATAATGTTTCAACGAACAACTTTACACAGTGTTTGAGACTGTATCTAATTGTGTCTCCTAGATGGGAAGCTCCCTCAGTAGGTGAACAAGTGCAACTCTGTGAATTTAGAATTTTGGTTGTATTTAGAATGAATGTCGCATGAATGCCGACAGCAATGATAAACTCAAATGTGTAAGCCATAAACGATCATTATTGTACTTGCTGTTTTGATTTGGATTCTCCGAGTATGGATGCTTCGCAAATTTCCAATACTATCAATCCATGGATAAAAGTGAATTTGTCACAGTAATCTCTATTTGTATTTTTTTGTAGTCGTCCCTTTGATGTTTCAATTTTTCCAAACTATGAGCACACATTAAGTAAAACAGAATGGAAAATACGTATCTAGAATGTGTGACAACATAAAGAAAAGTAATATCGTTATGCATAACCGCAAATGCAACCAGCGTATGTTCGTATGCTTGCAAATGTATGTGTCCTTGTAACGTCCTTGCCCTCCAGGTCATTAACCGTATACACTCACGTACTCACGCACGTTTGCGCGCGCGCGCGCGCACACGTGCACGCACGTATATACACTCACTTATACCTATATTTACCCGTATGTGTAATCTTCATATATGCACGCACTGAATACATGTAACGTAGCGTGGCCACGCAATCCGTACATATTAAAACTCGAGACACGCCGTCTTTTACATTTTCGACACTTATCCTCGTACTCTCCCACTCTTTGTCCCTCCGCCCCAGCTCAACTAAAAATAACTTTGAGCTAAAAGAATTCGGTATGCATTGATCAGCGTTCCCATCAAGAACAAAAGTTCGCGTCGGTCACTGCCACATAAGAAATACGACCAGTGAAATTAGATCGATTTCATATTATGCAAATCATGAAAGAGACTTGATAATGGAGATGCTGTGCAAAAATGCTGTGCAAAAATGCTGTGGCATACATACAAGGTGTTGTACTATACGTCACATAGTGTTGTATAAAAATAACTGTATAGGATATTCTTAGGAGGCTCGTATTGGGGGCAGTACTACGTTTCTTCTTTTTTAATATGAGTAAGGTCTCGCCCAAGTTGTTCACCGAATGTTAAGCAAGGATAAACTAATACACTCGGGTGTTGTTTCCGAATACAGCTGTCTTCTCGACGTAGAACAAATGTTGCTACAAATGCTTGACAAAATCTCAATGCAATATATAATTGTTTGTTTTTATTTGTCTGTATGGCAATCTCTTCGCAAAATAATTATTAAGTTATCTCATAAAGTAACATAAATTCATTTACATTAATAAATAATTGCGTTCTTTTCTTCAATGAGATTGCTATCATATTAATTACTTATCTTCGTCTTTTAAAAGACTCGAGCGTTTTTGCTATGCTGCGATTTGAAAAGATTGTGTTGTGTGTGTGTGTCCATAAGCATGGACGTACGTATATTATATAATATAAATAATATTAATTAATTGTTTTAGTTAGTCCTTTTCAATCGTAAAGTTTTCATATCGTATCAATTTAGTAGGAACAGTGCAAGTTTTCTCCATATATCACTTATTACATATGTTTTTCGAGTGCTCTGATTTATTTTACAATTTTTGAAAAAATTGTTCCGTCATTTAGTTTTAATATAATTATATAGTTTTATATAAAGTGCCATTGAACAACGCTCTTGTTTAAAATTTTTCGAAGACAAAATCGCTAACAAAATGCTCTCTCTCTCTCTCTCTCTCTCTCTCTCTCTCTCTCTCTCCCCCTCTCTCCTACCCCCTTTCCTCCTGGAAACTGGTGAGTCACAGGATGTTAAGGTTACCGAGGTCAGCTACGTTTATTAGTTTAAGAACGGGGTGAAGAGGAGTCTGGAGTTGGATATGTAAACAAGATGAAGCATTTTATATGAGAAGGTCGTATATGAAACGATTACATGAAACATGCCTACGTATATATCATCTTTCTGGAAGCAAAAATAAGAGAAAAAGAAAGAAGAAGAAGAAGAAGAAGAAGAAGAAGAAGAAGAAGAAGAAGAACATTGACAGTTGAAGATCCAAAGGAGACTTGTGTTGTTGGAACGATGGAGAAGACAAGAAGAGTGGCAAATACGAATCGAAAAGAGCAGATGAAGGGAGAAGAGAAAGAAGGGAGGAGGATAAGAAAAGGAGATGGAAAAGTATGAAAATAAAGGAAAAGGGGAAGAATAAAAGGGAGCAGGGCGAGTAAAGTTTGAAGAAGAAACCGCAGCAGCCCTTGGCGAGCCTGGACACGGTCCTCGGTAACAGTATTCAGTAACGCCATACACACCGGCATGGTACAACTTGGCGAGGCCACAGGCGTCTGGCCAGTGCCAAGCACCGCGCTGTCCGTGCCAAGCTCGTCTTTTTTTATTAGACTCTGACACAAGAGAGTTCTACCGTCTTGCTTTCTCTGTCTTGCTTCCTGTGTCACTCTTTCTATCTCCTTCTCTTCCTCCATACCTACTCCCCTCTGTCCGTCTGTCTTTTCTTCTCTCTTCTCATTGGCCGATGGACCAACATCGCTTCGCTTTGCTCCAGTGTTTCCCTCCTCGTTCTCACAACCATATCAACATCCACGTGTCTCAGCATCGACATTCTCTCTCTCTCTCTCTCTCTCACACACACACACCGCCGCATGCCTCCAGCCGAATACTTGTACATCGCGAATCAGCTCTCTCGCCAACACATGCCATGGTGGCACCCCACAGGTCATCCATCCCTTATCTCTTATTGTTTCCACATCTCGCTCCCACTTACCACTCAAGTTATCCTTTTCACTTGACGCCACTCAGGTTTCAACATCTATTCCTATCGGAATATTATAGTCATGATGCTCGATACTGTAAACAATCGACGAAAGAAACCTTTGCCCGTTTGCAAACCATATGCACATCGTGACTGTACTTTACATAGTGTCGTGACAACAAAACGATTCCGCGTACGATATACTTGTGCGCCAACGACGACCGCCGCAGTGGTATACGTATTGAACGGGATTTTTTTTCGTAAAGAAACATAAACCGATGAAAAATTACGATTCGATGCCATTCTTCATGTAATGTCTGCAACATTTGCTACAGTCGTTGAACGACTCTGCAAATGTCGTGCGCTTGATGAGGAGAAGAAAGCTTGTCTCGATGCATTTGTACGCGTCACTACCTATAAGTTCCTTGCTCGAATACTTACTCCAAGTGTTCCTTACAATAATGGTGAACTTAATAAGAGGGCATTGTCACTATTGCATTAGTTGCGTGTCTATTGGATCTGTCATACTTGACGACTTGAGCATAGCAATTGCTAATGTATTAGCGATCTCTCTTGACGCCCACGAAAACGTTTCAGCGCGAATGAGAAAAGGCAGAGGGGCCAGCTGAAGATAAAAGAGGCACGGCATACACAACGCGCGCGTAATATAAGTAAATAAAACAGCCGGTTTAGCGACGAGGTGTCGCGATGCAAATAATCGTCTTTCTCCGATTCGAGGATCCGAGGTGCGAAAGTGCATGCGTCTGTAAATATGCATACGGCACGCATGTATGCTCTCACGGAACATATATGAACTTTTCTCGAGCCTCGTCGTCTTCTCTCGCCACCTTGTACCTTCTCTTCCGTTCCGTCCTTCCCCCGATATGCTTATACTCTCCAGCGTGTCCTCTCGCTTGATGTGCGGATCTGTTTACCCTTGCCACCGAAGGCGTTAAGTAATTTGCTTATTTTTTTCGACCCGTCAATTTCTCTCATCCGTCGATACTTGAACTACGTGCGTGTGGTTTTTTTTACTTGCCGCGCTGACTGCGAGTGATGCGGCGCGATGAGAATTATCCGGTTGTTGCACGGCAAATTATGCCATGCCGACGAAGACGGAAGTGAATAATGGTATAAATATCATTCCCGCGTGATACTACCGTTACAAGTGTACCATACATGCTGGACAATGTTACGCTTAACAAACGTCATCAATTGGAAGAGAGAGGAGGGGCGACTTTTTGTGCTTTGCTATGCATAAAACTGACGCTTACGTCAGTTTACGCCTATCGATCTATACTGCTCTTCGTTGTGTACTATCTCTTGACTATTGCAAGACACTACGCGAGCGAGAATACATCAGGCACTTGTAACTTAACAAATACATGATGACTATTGATTTTGACAGAAAGCGCAGACTGTACGAAAATACGCTGTCGAGAAGGCCAAACTTGCTTATCCGAAATGAAGTCTGGACGACCACGTTGCGTGACCTGCACCTACCGTTGCCCCCGGAAGCGGGAGCGCGTCCGAAATAGGGCGCATCGTGACAGAGATCGAGATCGAGATTGGGATCGGGACCCTTCGACGACCATGTTATGTGCAACAAACAACATCACCTATCCCAGTTGGTGTCACATTATCAAGGACGCCTGTGTTACTGGCTTCGTTCTTGAAACACGGCACGCGGGTCCCTGTAACGCTTACGACACGGCCCCTCTTTATATCGGTGAGTTAGAGTTAATAGTTGTTATTGAGAAAACTTGACGAATTCGCGACCATTTGGCAAAGCTATACTTGGATTTCTACATGGATGGCAACTCAACCTTGACTCGATGATGGCAAACTGACAAATTAGTTACAAGTTGATCGTCCAGGATCGGTAAGCCGAGTTAGACTCGGATAAAATTTGTTGGACGATGTAACTTGGAAAAAAAACTTTGGGATCTTATTCAACTGTTGAATAAAGCGCGACATACATACACATGCGCCGGTCCAGCTATTTATACGCATCTCTGCGAGGTGAGTGAGTCATTCGCGTCGTAAACCAAGCTGCCAAGCTGTAATCCGCTCTAGTTACAATCATCCAGTATGGAATTTGTGTTGCGTGAGCAATTCGCATTCGATCGTGAAAACGTAGAGAAATGCAGGGAAATACAGAGACGTGAATTTTTTCATCGTCCATTTTTCATCACTAATATACGACAACTTGCCATCCCGTCTTCGTGGCCTCTGTTAGATGACGCACACGCAGAAACCTGTTGCATACATGATATAGAAACGAGAAGAGGTCATTCTGCCTCGCCCTTCGATCTTGTCAATTACGACATCCTGTATATTAATTATTATCCCGGAAATGTGGTTGGAAAGCCATCCATTTTGATTCGACAAATTGGCCAGCATTCTATTTACATTTTTTACAGAGGAGGACGACACTTCGAGCAACTACGGGGTTGATCTGGCGGACGAAGATACAAAAGTGAGTGATGATTACGCCAAATCTCCTTACGGCCTCCATTCTATGCCGTTCACGTAGCTTTAACGTTTTCATAGTTTTCGATACTTTGAAAAACAATGTTGAAGAAAAAGCAACAGGTGGACAGTAACGACTCTACTTTAGTTTAGAAATGTAATAGGTGCTCAAGTTCGCAACGGTCTGGAGGAATGTCGATGCGCGACTATTTACGATGCGTCATTATTACTTGTTTGTGACAAATAGATTAGAGAAATCTACATGAGGCTCAGCTCAACGGAACAAAGGACGGTTTAGCGTTAAAAGCAAAATGACAAGAGGAGGGTCACGTGAAAATAGTTGGAGACGTTCACAAAAGACAACTTGATTGTCAACACTCTCCAAAAATGACCGAGCACTTGGAAAACAGTTAGAAAACTCTTTTATTTAACTAAGCAATATATTTATTTAATGTAAAAGAGATGTATTTATTTTTACTTTTTAAGGTCCACTGAAATCCACATAGATATATTGTAACTTGAGTCGTGATGCGTTTATTCTTTTCTCTAGAGAAGGAAGTGTGATCAAGCTTAATAAAATTGTACGATCACTCAACATCTCGATTACATCGGCAATTGATAATTATTTCATCGTCCATTAACTGACACATTTCATTTATCAATTATAAGTGTATGCACACGTGTAGTTACGGAAATGTCTTGTGTTATATGTGCGTGCGTGCGTGCGTATAGTGTATCGTATGACGTACGACGTCACACTGGATATAGTCTCGTATGAAAAATACTATAAACGATTATAGAACGCGTGTGATAATATTCCTAAGACGCTTGCTTCGAGAGATATATTTAATAACTCGGAACGAATAGCAGTCTTTCACATCATACTGTATTAATATAGTAGCAATACCAAAATTTTCATCAAGATAAATTCATCTAGTATACATTTTTTAACGAGAGCCCAAACAGTGCGTTTTTTATAATAGTTACATCACAAAGTAATGGTATTTAGAAAATTTATATTCGACAGCGCGAGTAAATAAAATCAATAGAATCTTTTTAATTTTTTAATTAACTGTTTACTATTATATATACCTGTAATTAGAGGCTTTACTATTTCAACATATTTAGTAATAAAGTATTAAAAATTGCAAGTGTAACATCAAATTTTTGTTATCAAAAGAAAAGTAGCTTTTAAAATTAACAATTTAATCCTAGTGATTCTAATATATCCATGAAATATCTATATATACATACATATATATATTCCTTGTACATATATACATATATATATTATATTAAATTATGTTATGTTGTATTATATTATATTATATATGCTAGAAACCCTTTAACCCTTATAGAAATGTAATTTCTAATAATGTAACTACTGCACTGAAAAAAATTTCTGGTTGAATATGGACGAATCAGATAATTCCTTTAGGATTTACTAGAATTTCTGTAGGATTACAGGAATTCTGGTAAATCCTAAAGGAATTCTGGTAAATCCTAAAGGAATTATCTGATTCGTCTATATTCAACCAGAAATTTTTTTCAGTGTGAGTAGCGATCATGTAACTTTTCCCCCTAGAGTGGAAACATGAAAAATGAAAAGTTTTACGCGAATGCAACAATTTCATTGGCTGAAATCATTGGGTTTACATGAAATTTTTCACGTGAAAAATTACGTAATAGCTGCGCTGAACGAATTCGTTTCGCTCCCAGTTGTTACATTTCTGTAGGGGTAATATATGCCAATGATAAATGTCGCGATACATAAACAAAATAAAAGGATAACAAGTCTTTCGTTAATAGATATTTCGGTAAAGTAAGAATAAAAGGAACATTTGGACATAATTTCGATCATTATTCTTGCAGGTGAGAGAGTAGTAGATTCCCATACAGCACGCATGTCTGAAAGACATCTTTAAGACATCTTTAAGTCGTCTTTTAGATATGTATGTCTAAAAGACGACTTAAAGATGCCTTAAAGATATCTTTTAGATATGTGTGCTGTATGGGTTGCTATCGTATTACTGTAATGTGTGATTTTATAATGTTGACATTGTAAACAACAAATGATGTTATTACATAAACAATTCTCTCTCTCCCCCCCTTCCCCCCCTCTCTCTCTCTCTCTCTCTCTCTCTCTCTTTGGAATTAAACGAGGCATAATTAAAGTTACTCTAAAAGATGCACGTTCATAATATTCCTTGACATCTACATTAATTAAATGATCAATATTACGTAAAACTTTCAATCTCAAGAGAGAGCTGTAGCCGTCACGTTTCCATTCAATATATTACATATTGTGTTATTACAACACTCGGGGAAATGTAATTCATATAAGATTGTAAGATTAGTGTAAAACGCGACAGTGTCTCTCAAAAGCAGAATATTAGATAGACAAGCAACTTGTATAAGTCAGTATTTATTATTCGATTCTATACGACGAGAAATCATTGACACAGCGAACGTGTATGGACGATCGAAAATAGTCATATCACATAACGAGTCCTCACCAAGATTCATCAGGAAAAAGGAATCTTTGGCAATATATTATTGCTAATTGAAATTGTTAGGCACAAACATGCTTTTTATATATAATTCGAAATAACGATTCGACAATGTTTCCAGATGCGGCATTACGTTAAAACTGTAAATATGTGTAAAAGTGCTGCTTTTTTACTCTGAATTTCCTATCTTTAGTTTAACAAGACTTAATATTTTTGCTACAGCAACTTTGTGTACTTACCGATGCAAACATTATATACATTGCAGACTTTTGTCGAGTTGGGCATCATCGATCGTCCAAATGCTTCCGTCCTAGCCTCTATCTATAAATAGTATTTATGTAATAATAATATCGCACTTAATTTATTATAGTTTTATCAACAAATTTGGTTTCATACTCTATCAAGCGACTGTTTCACTCGAGCTTGTAATGTAAACGTAAATCCGTTGGGGATGAAAATCAATGTAATCTTATTTACTGGAACGATGAAAAATAAAAATGGAAAAGCCATCGAGCGAACGTTCGTGTTTAAATGGCGAAAAATGTGTAGGAGATTTACACTGCGAGAGAAGTGCCGAGAAAGTTTAGATCTTTTAAAAATGTTTCACACGTATGGCGAGGGAATGTGAAGTCTTAGAAACGGAATATTTGAGCTTATGCACATATAGATTTTCGAAGAGTGTAGCAATTTGTATAAAAGTCGTGAGGAAAGTCTTCTCACCGCGGTTGACATTACCAAAGTATACATGTACTTACAGAGGTGATTTTTGCACTGTAAGGATAACCGAAAAGAGGGAAACCGTCAAACTACCATAGTATAACTTGTAGGGGCACTCTCTGTCGGCGCCTTTGATTTGGGCCATGGTATAAATCTTTACACCATGATCTAGGCGTTCTCAGTTTTCCGCCATGTTTTTATAAGCGCCAACGGTGTATCAACGGCTAAAAGTGCCTGGGCCCTTTTCAGGATCGTATCCAGGAAAGGCGCATACGAACTGGCGTACATTATTTATTGTAAATGGAAATGGCCTATGAAAGAAATTGTTCTAATAAAAGTAATTAATGTAATTACTTGCTCCAACGTATAAAGGTATTTACGCGTTATTCGCCAACACCGCGAATTTTTCAATGCCACACCGACTTTGCACTAACGCACGTACAAAAATCCTGTGATTGGTCAGAATAAAAACATGTCGGATGCGCAGTAAATGGTACAGATCGGCGCGAAAGTGAAACAAAATAACGAGTGCCCCTACTGGTTGTATGTACTGTGATATCCCTGATGGAAAAATTTTGCTGAAAACGTAATGAAATTTGCTGAAATTTGGTTGAAAATCTCTTGCAATTGACCCAATTTCATTATCATTTCAGCAGTTTCTCATTAAAAAATTTATTTTCAGTGAAATTCTGCAAATTTCATAATACACAACATTTCTAAAATTTTTTCACTAATTTTTAGTAATATTAATTAACTTTCATCTAATTTCACAGTATTTCATTGAATTTCATAACGAAACTCATGATTTATTTTGAAATGGTTTCAACAAGTTTCTAATAACTTTCATTTCACTTTTCATCAATTTCATTACATTTTCAGCAAAATTTTTCCATCAGGGACTACATTACCGAGGGAGGGAAATGGATTTTTTCGTGACATAGTTAAAACGATAGACGGTAGAGTGCTCCGTGCCGGCATTGCCGGCTCTTCTCTCGCGACCACGGTATATGCAGAGAGAAGCCTGAGAGATGTCACGGCCCCGTTTTTC